TTTTTTTTTTTTTTGGCAGCATATTTTGAAAGTAAATGTTAAATGTCTCCCAAATGGAAGGAATTATTGGAAATCTCAAAGTCATATGGGGATTTCAAATATGATCTTGTATTTGACCTTATTTCAAGTTCAAATGGTCCAAAATTTTGTGGAAATTTAAATTTTCTGTAGAAAAATATTTCTTTGAGGTGATTTGCTTTGATATTATGGTGAAAAGTTACTCTTGGGGTTTCCTTTTCCGAGTTTGGGGTCAATGACAATTGGTGTAATTTTATAGGAGAAGCAGCCTTTAGATGCAAAAACTGAAAACTCTCAGTTATTCCAGAATCATAAAAGCTAGAGAGCACTTAATTGTTGCATTTTTTAGAGCTTGTCAAATGCAACACTGGAAGCCCTATGTCAGTTACATATCCTTAATGTTTGTTTTACCTGTTGCGAAATTGGATGTTGAATTGCTGTTAATTACCATGTAAAATTGCATTAAAGTTGACAAAAATAACTTATCATGTCTGTACATTTTTAAATGTTAAAACAGCTTTACCACTTCTTTAAAATACGGGCATAAGAATAGAAGCATTTCCAGTGAGATAAATAACCATTTTTGGTCTTTTACCAATATATCAAGTTGTAATACTTCTCATTGTATTGTATTGTTTTCTACTTAATGTGTTCAAGCTCGGGTCTGTAGAGAATGACAAGAATGCATTAACTAATTATCAAAAAGTTCAAGATATTTGAATCTGTATTAATAAACCATTTCTAAGAGTATCTGGGATTTTGTTTTTTCATCAAAGATATATAATGTTACGTAAGTCTTCTAATAGTAAATGCCTTTCATATTACATCAACCTAGCTGATACCTGTCACAACAACCATTGAACCATGATAAGAGATGCAATAAAAATAAAAACCAACCTTTCTTCCCTGCCTTCATGTGCAAAAAGAATTATCAACAATCATTTTACATTAATATATATTTATAATAATACATTAAAAAAATAATAAAAGAGAATAACGAGAATGAGTGGGAATTCAACCCTCTTTGCTGTGGTAGGCAGCCAAAGAGGTTACGATTGGACAAGCAAATCCTGCTATCTGATGTGGTGTTATTGACAATATATGATACCTGTCAGGCGTGTGGAAGCTTTACGGAAATTGCCAAAGGCTTGAAAATGCCTTCAGAATATACTTTTAACAGTTATTATCAAATTCAAACTACTACCACTATCTTCCAACTGCCCTAAGGTATTGCTAATCTTGCAGGTAGCAGAAAAAGGCTTTATAACTGCACATTCTTCAAATTTTGGTCATAAATTTAACTTACTTGTGTTCTATCCAGTCTGTAAAGCACAGTAAGCAGGACGTGCCTGTGTAAATACAATTTTTCAAGAAATAATGTAATATGATATTTCTCCAATTTATTCCATTTCATTTTCTGGTATTTCTTAAATATACCCTTTTTGAAACATTGTTTGACACAAGTTCCAAGGCTCCTAACAATGTGAGTGATTCCCACTCTAGAGCTATAATGATAGAACTATAATTTTATTTACCACTACACTTCATGCCATACGAACATTTAAGCAAATGCAGCTTGTGTAGGGAAGCGTTTTAGCAATGTTGATAGAAAATGTCAATATGCGTCAGGTCAGCATCTGTATCACTTGTTGTTACCACGATTTTCCAACATGGAAAGGAAAAAACATACGATGGTTCAACTGGGGTTCGAACCCAGGACCTCTCGCGTGTGAGGCGAGCGTGATAGCCACTACACTATTGAACCGATGCTTGAGACCATGCGGCTTCTTAAAATAATAATAGTTTATATGCACTGAAATGACGATATCATTAGCTTTTAGATATAATTGTTTATTTAAAATGTTTTTCACATCAAAGGTAAAAATTTAAGTTTATATTCAACATGTGACCTTTGTGCAAGCTAATTACTAGAGTTAAAGAGATAAAGCGGAAGCGGAAGTTTCTTAATTTGTTTTAAGCGATTAAATAATACACGAAATGTACCGTTTTTCTGCTTTTGTTACCATACTAAAGTTTGACTTGATAATATTTTTGATAATGTTTAAGGTTAATCCACGTAATAGCTCAAAGTGACAAGTAAGATGCTTCGATCTTTTTAATCATATTGTAAGCGACAGTTTGGATCCGCCATGATATTTCACGAAAGTTTTGTTTGTTTTGATAGGAAGTAGTTATCAATCTTGGAAAATATTAGCTCACCGAAACTCATTGTGTTGTTTGAAACTTCTTGGGATTCTTTTTTCACCATCGAATATTATATACAGTAAGTATGACATCGTTTTTCGAGAAAAAACAAGTAGTGAGTCAGTTTCTCATTGAATCTATTATCAAATATCTTTGTCAGTGTTCGGTTAACCTCAGCTGTGCTATACAACCTTTGTCTCAGTTTATGCCTTTATATGTAAAGTGCATACTTTGTAGCGTGTAACACCGAAAACTGGGGCAAACGCAACCTTGTATGAAGATTCGCGGTGGTAGGCTCAGCCAGGCGCTTCTCTTGTCGGCTCTTCTGCTTCTCGGCGTTGTAGGTTCCCAATGACCAGTTTTTTTTTCTTCAAGTTGGGAGCCCATTTATCATTTACAAATTCAGGTGCACGTATAGACGTACCAAAGGTTTATCAGGTACACCAGAGTACCAAAGTACCCATATGTACTCCTTATTGTGCTCAATTTTGTTACCATAGTTCTTTCACTATCTAAACCAATGTCCTTGTTTTCTGAAACATCTTGAAGTTTTCATAATACCAGGGATAACAAGTCTGAAGAGACCATATGAATGTTATTTGTTCAGCACAACACATATGTTTGGAAAAATAATCTAGGGAGTTATACTATATATATGGCTATTTATTAATTTTCAGAATGTCTGAAGATTGGATTGGTTGTGTTGTCTCTGTTGACTGTGGTGACACTTTGGGGACTTACCAGGGTCAAGTGTCATTGGTCAACAGGGAAGACCAGTCTATTACATTAATTAAAGCCTTTCGCAATGGAATGCTGTGTGAGGTCCCAACAGTTACACTTAGGTATGCACAAGAAATGACCAATACAAATTGTTAAAATTAAGATTTTGAATTTGGTGCCAAATAACTGTTTGAAAAACTGCAAAAGGTTTGCTGGATCTTTTATCAATAAGACCCAAATCTGTCAAAAAATTGTGAACTGCATATTGATTCTCATATCTCAGTAGATGAAGTGATAATATTTTTAAATCTGTTAGTTGCCTATTCTTTGCAGTGCAATAGACATTCAAGATTTAAAGATTTTGAAGACATCCACTGAAGCTGAAGAGCTTCCAGCAATAAGACATAAAGTCAAGAATGGACATGTTACTCCACCTAATGCTGCTGATGCAGGAGAGGGGTATTTGGATACCACACCTCTGAAACCCAAAGCTAGTAATGATCCTGGGAGAAGGAATGGAAGGTCCAATGGTTACCAGGGAGTGAATGGTCAAGGAGTTAATGGTTTTCCAAATGGAAATGATCAGTACAACTACAGTGTGTCTTCAACAAGAGAAGCAGACTCATTCAGAAAGCGTTCTGGGTCTGGTTAGTAGTAATAGTTGAAGCATCATTTAAGCTGAGGAGACTTAACATTGTCTTTTCACTAATTTCTTTAACCAGATTTTTATGTANAAACTTGTTATCGTGTATTGTGTAATAAAGTTTCAAAAATGGAAATAAACTCATATCATTGCAGTTTGTCAGATTCAATCATTAAAATTTTGCATCAGAATTGACAGTAGCCTATTTTGTGCATAGTTATTTCCTGTTTTTTGTCTGTACATTTGACAGCTTTGCTGCCTTGTTTTAAAGTAAATCTATAATTGCAGTCCAAGGTCATCATGTTTTAAGAAAACATTTAACTTTTATAAGTAGATCTGTAACTTATAATTGATTTATTTTGATTGATCTCATTTTAAATGTCATTTAATCATAGTGACACATAACTGGTTTTCAGCATCAGACACTAAAACAAATTCAGGGAGAGGTGGTCGTGGTCGCAGCACTCCTAAAAAGATAGAAGGTCGGCGCCGTAATACTCCAAGGGAAGAGTGCTTCAGTGCACCGTCTCAGTCATTTTTAGGAGAATTTGACTTTGAGAAAAACTTAGCTTTATTTGATAAGCAGGCTGTGTTTGAGGAGATTGAGAGTTCTTCTTATCCTGCTGAAATGCAGATAGCTGCACAAAAGCAGCCTCCAAAATACCGGTGTGATGAAAATGTTTTGCAGTCTGGGCCTGTGGAACTGAGGCAGATCAAAATTAAATCCAGTGCCAGTAGTGGAATGGAGAAAGATTATGTCACAGGTAGAACTGACTATAATATAAGATGGTTTGTTGTTATAATATTTAATCATTTACTTTTAAGAAAGATACAGATGTATCTTTGCATGTAGAAAACCAATACAACTGAGAAAAAGACAGAAATGATTATTGAAGAAGTCGGTGAAAGTGTTATTGTTTTGTTCAATAATGTAAACTCTGCTAGCCTGTATGTAAATTATGCATTTTCTCCAAACATACAGGAAATATTATCAGAATTTTAAACAGGAGTAAATTGTTTTGTACAGTTATTTGAATAGGTTGATTTTCAATCGTCTTTAGATGCCGGTTTGGTTGTTCCTTGCATTCCACAAGATTTACGCAATAAACTATTCGAGAAAGCGGAAAAAGCTGGATTTAAGACAGAGCGCTTGCTGGAAGTTGTGGGTAGATCTGCATGTGAAATGGTGCTGCAGCTTCTTGGTGGTGCACACAGGTAAGACAGGTGGTTGCAGTGGGCATGTTGTGTATTCAGAAGACCCACTGATTTAAGTAATGATAGCTTTTCATTTAAAAAAAATACTGAAAAATGTAATTCATTAAATAAAATAGTCTAGTAAGAATTTCATTATCTATAATTAGAAGTATGTTTTTTTTTTAATCTGCAGTTTGTTGGCATATGTGTTGTGATACCAAGTATTGCCTTTAGTTGGCATAATGCCACAGGGTAGCCACTTGTTACTGTTGAAGTTAACATCATGATGAATAAACACAAAACTTTTTCCTTCTTTTTTTGTAGACTCAATCCTCGTAATGCTCACCAGCGCCCCACAGTGGTGGTGCTATGTGGGCCACATATGCAAGGTGCTCAGGGTGTGTCGTGTGCAAGGCAGCTAGCCAACCACAATGTCAATGTGATCCTCTTTGTGCCAAATTTTCTTAAGATGTTGAACTGGCTGGCGGAAGAGATAGCTTTGTTTGAATTGACCAGTGGAAAGAAGACTTCCGATCCAAGTGGTATGTTGAGATGAAAACAAAGACCAGGAGTAGTATTTTTTAAAAAGTCCAAATCACAGACACGTGCATGCACACATACATACACACACACTTTTTATTTTGTGTTATTGTTGACATTATTTTGAAAAGACTATGATATTAAACATGACCTTCTTCCAGGCCTTCCTACATTCCCAGTTGACATAATAATCAACTGCCTGGACAATGGTGAGAATAAACACCTCCGCAGTCAACCATGGTACACCACCATTGTTAATTGGACCAACCAGAGCAAAGCCCCAGTAATGGCCATGGACCCACCAGCTGATGGAGGCAGCGACATACAAAATAAATGGTCCATGTGTCTGGGACTGCCTCTGAACTTGCCAGATAATTGTGGACAGATCTATCTGTGTGATCTGGGACTCCCTAAAGCTATTTTTAAACAGTTAGGGATAACTTACCAGTCGCCATTCGGTCACAAGTTTGTCATTCCACTTCATGTTAAGGCATCCTCATAAAAAGGAAGGAGTGTGGGGGNGTTATGTCCTGCTTTTTGTCTGTACATTTGACAGCTTTGCTGCCTTGCCCCCTTGGTGAACTTACAAGCTCCTGCCAGTATGAATAGTTGTAATGTTACTGACTGGAACTGTATTATGTCAGACAGTTATGAACATATGGGGGCTTCCAAGAAAATATGTGACTGAAAAACAATATTGCTGATATTTAGAAATGTTAATAAGGCAGCGAGTACTATGAATTTTGATCTCAGATATGGTGAAAATCTAGTGCATGGCCTGACCTAGTCATGATTTGTCAAGAGCATCCAGATAATTCAACTCGAGGTATTTAGTCCTTGGTGCTTGAGTGAAGGACTTCACAGTATTTAAGGATACACTGTAAATGAATGGAAAATGTGACAATCTCTATGTGTATAAAAATGTCAAAGAAGTAGATGCTGTACACAGATGATTCGAACTTGACCAACAATAACAGTAACATTACTGTGTATATAGTCATCAACAGTTCACTGCCATAAAACCATCATCACTTCGCCAGCTTTCATTGAAAAAACTGAGGAAATTATCACAACTTTGAGAGTTTGTTAAAGAGAAGAAAAATATTACGAAAGGGACATATATAGTCATCAACATTTCACTGCCATAAAACTATCATCATTTCGCCAGCTTTTACTGAAAAAGTGAGGAAATTATTGCAACTGAAAGTCTGTAAATGAGAAGAAAAATTTTAAGAATGGGACATAATATGGAGATGCAAGAAGGTAAGGGTTGGAAAGGAGAGAGAAGAAAGAATTTAAAAAAAAGACTAGCAGTTGACAGAGAAGGAAAGAAAACAGTATTAAAGAACAATGTAGCTGAAAAGAGGTGGCTGAAAAGTAAAGTTTTACATCATTATCATTCAATTATTAGAAAATCATGTTTGTCGTAAGATGCCTTTCAGCAGTCATTTTATTTTTTAAGAAAAGTAAGAAATTGTAGAAAAAAATGAAATTCAAGAAGCAAATATTGTTAGAAAAATGAATACTTAATGTAAAAAATGGGCAGTGCAGTACCACTGAGAATTTCATATATTCATTTATCTGTATACTTAAGTTTTTATGAGAGAGAGTTTTAAAGATGATGTTGTTGATAATCGTGCAAGCAGGATAAAATGTAAATAGTTAATGGAAATGGAAGGTTTGTACATTACCATGTTACTTGAGAAAAATTTGTACATGTACATAATTGCACTGGTTGAAAAGAGAGAGAGAGACAAGGTGCTCTCTCTTAAGATTGTTTGGTTTGTAAATATTTTATTACTGATTGATTACTGACTGGTACAAAGAGCAACATGTATATTTACTCTTTGAACCAAAATGTTTGAATGTTAGGATATATTTGCCCATTGTTTAGATACAGTGAAATCTGAAGCTGTCTAAATGATGTACACTGCAGTATATTAGTTTTACGTAACAGCAACCAGTGATATATGAACCTCTATACTTCCATCCTGGTAGATGGTAAACAAGTTCTCTAGTGTACAGATAGAATACACTGGTTTTATTCAAAGGAAAAGGCACATGTTTGAACCAAATTGAAATAACCCCATTTAAATCAAAGCTGAGTCCACAGACTGAGGATATGATGCATTAAATAAGTATATGCTCACTGTGATAGGCATATACATACTGTGCAAGTGAAGGTGTCCACAACCATTTTGCATAGCTTAGAGTAAAGAAACCTTACAATTGAAGTCTACTGGAATGGGAACTCCCTCGAGAAATGGATACCCTTTCTCTTTGGTTTTCAATAGGATTTTTTTTTTGGTTGCGTTGAGTTGAGTTGGGTTATAGTACTTGGAGATTTTTTTTTTTTTTTTGGGGGGGGGGGGGAGTATGTAAGAAGGAAACCTCAGTTCTGATGGTTTGCATTTTTATGAACCGAGAAGGAGTTGGAATACACAAATGGGTCTTGTTGAAATAAGATTAATTATTAGGTTTTATGTTTTAGTCCATATTCTGTAAAACAGTCAATCTATTATGGCATGGTATAACTTTGAAGTGAACAAATCTTAACGCAAAAGTCGCCCATGTGAAACCCACTTGCTGAGAAAACCTGCTTATCAAAGAACCATTTATGTGTTTATATATTTGTATATACAAAGAAGGGCTAAAAGCTATGTGTAAATGTGTGTATGTGTATAAAAGAACAAGACACGAGGTATTACAAAGAGCAAAACACTTGTAAGATAATGAGTATCTGATTTATAAAGTAATACTGTTGGCTGTGAAAATGTTCCCATGGAAATTTTAAGCAACAGGTATGTACAGATAAGAATTTGGATTTGATGCTTAAAAAGAAGCGAGTTATTTTATGGTGTTACTAAAGTACAGCAGCTATTTCTTTCTTTTTTTTTTTTTTTTCTTTTTTTTTTTTTTTTTTTTTTTTCTTTTTTTTTTTTTTTTGATAACTCTCTCTTTATACCTGGTTATTGCAGATGTCAGTATTCACCCAAGGAGTTGTTTGATACAACTCTTTGGTTCACCTATACATTGTTTTCTCCAGAGTTTAAACTGACCATCAGTTTTTAGAGCCAAGTCAGTGACAGTGGGGATTCAGTATTGGTGAGTTTTAGTAAACTGTAAATATAGTTAGTAAATGTTTAAATAAGAAACATTTGGATATTGAGAAAGCAGGAGGTGGTTCTTTGTGACATCTTAAAATATTTTATAATGCAAACTAAATGTGTCCACTAGTTAGATTGGGTACTTATAATTTTTTTTATTTCTGTTATTTTTTTAATATAAGCCAACTTCAACATTTTTCTAGTTTCTAGCAGAAGTCTGCATTTTATGATTTTACACTTAAACTTCTTGGTGTTAACATACTGACTTTCACAAGATATGGCATGAATACAGTCCTACAGGTATGTCCTTTTAAGTTGAAACTCCCCATGTGTAATGCCAGATAATAAATAGGAATCATTTTACAGTATAGGTTTCTCTGATAATAGGTGAAATGTATTTTATACTTTCATAATATAATTTTTCCTACCATCATTTTTTTGTTGGATATTTAATATCTGACAAACTGAATCAAAAGTTTTTATAGGTAAGGGAAGATGAATCCCTGTAGGAAAAGGCAAGTTTTTAAAAGCCTTTATGGCCAAACTTTCTGTCCATTGTAGGATTTGATAGGTGTTTTAAATGATTATATCCGTCAGATTATGTAATGTAATGAAATGAAATACATTAGCATGTGACCTAATGTAAATTGATATTTATTTTGCCAACTCTTTTTTTATTAGGCTGTTTATTTGATATTTTACGGTTTGTGATGAAGCTATCAAAAACTGACTGATGTTTTGAGGTCATTATGTCATCAATATGGTTCTTTATATTGTAACTTGTCTTTGTGTGTTTATATTGGAAACTCTTTGATATGATTAGTTTGTGTGTGTGTGTGTGTGTGCATGTGTGTGTGTGTGTGTGTGTGAGAGAGAGAGAGAGAGAGAGAGAGAGAGAGAGAATGAGAATTAAAATCGGACTCTTTCCTTTTAAGTAATATTGTTGCATGGTCATGCTTGAGTGATGGTGTTGAGTGTTCCAGGAAGGATGAGTGAGTTTATTGAAGTGTTATATAGGAGACGGTTATATTCATGATAAGTGTGAAGTCAGACATTTATTTAATATGCTGTCTACAATGTATGCACACAGTTATCGTGTTAAGACATATGCTATAAGCTTGGATCTTATTCGTAAAAAGGCACCCATAGAGACATGCATGTCAATGCTCATGCAAATGAGTCACACATGCCTGCGATGGTGCCAGCCAAGTGCAAACAACTGCATACATGTACACACATTTTACACCTATATTTTTGTCTTTGTATTTGCAGTGGGATCTGGATGCAAAAATTAGACCAGACTTATTTTGTTCAGACTTTGGAGAAAATGTGTTTTTTAAGATATTAATTAATCTGCATTATGTTAGAAATTATTGTTTTCCACCGGTCATTTGGGCCTGCAGCTCTAGTTGTTTAAGGACTCTGCCTAAAACCAAGGAGTTATAACTCCTTGCTAAAACCAACCAGAACAAAACTTTAAGAGATGGAATATTGGCAAAGCTTGACTTAGTGTTTGATTCCTTTTAGACAGGAGATTAATACTTGTTCACTTTGATATTAAAAAAAAAATTAATGATATTGATAGTTAAGTTCCTTTAATTTTTGTGATGGTGGTCATCTTCTGCAAACAAGTTCAGCCTTTGTTATTCTTTAGAGCAAAATTATTAAGTAGGCCTTTGGCCCAGTAAGGTAAAGTTTTTATTTTTTTAGCCACAGAGACTTGTGGCCAGGGACTAAGGAGGGGAGGGGGTAATTTCTTAAACTTGTCTGATTCACGATATTTTCATAAAAAAAAATTGGAAAAAAAATTTAAAAAGAAATAAAACAATTGCACAGGGAAGATGATGTAATTGATATTTATACTTGGATGACAGCAGTGGTTGATTTTAGTTTTAAGATAAATTTTTGCAGGTGCTAGATAGCTGTCAATTTGGCCCTTTATTTATTTATTTATTTATTTATTTATTTATTTATTTATTTATTTATTTTCGGGGGGGGGGGCAGGCTAAAATAAGGATGGTTAAAATAGATGTGACGTGCAGTTGTAAGATGTGTACCCTTTAGAATGGGTGCATTGGAATCTTTTCGTTGTGAGCCAGGGTGCCTTTACAAATGGTTTTAGTGTAGTGGATAATGTATGGTGTACCCAAAGGGTTACATTGATAAGGTTTTCATCAGAATCAGACATGCAGGAATTGATTTTTGTCTAGGATAATTGATAGAGTGTTTATAGTGTTAATTCAGACCCTTTGTAGAAATGTGATGGACACCTCCTATCAAAAGGTCCTGGCATTTCACAGTTGTCAAGGTCATCCTGCCATGTCACAGTTGCTAGGCTCATGATCTGACGGTGGTCATGTCATGCTTAGGTGTTTAGGAAGTGATGTTAAGCACATGTCTGGACTTGTCGTCTAGCCTTCTAGGCTCTTTGTGTTGGTCTAGATCTGGCGGTAAGATATGGAAATTGTAAATCCTAACATACGCATCTCTTTTATCTTGTTTTAATTTCTTTATTTTGTGTTTTTTTATTTTTCTTTTGATGACAAAGATTTGAACAGTGCATATCTTCAATATGAATAAGCAGGGTCTAAGAATTGTTGCCTGCCCTGAGATTGTATCAGAATCTCTGAATATCCAGTGTATAAACATTTCTTTAGTAAGGTTAGTCTGTCAAGAATGAAGTGAAATTTTACTACAACAATTGTATTTGCTTTAGTTTTGGAATCATTTAGACTAATAGTTAAATTGACGTAAAATATAATTCAAAATAAGTGTTTGTTACTGCTTGAAATTTGTTTGAATCGGTATAATTTTAGTAATCTGTATTTTAGTATTTGGTTTTACTGTATTCACTACATATAGAATAAACATATCCATTTATGTTTGAAATAAGTACATGAACTTATGATGTTGGTAACTGTTAAAAGAAATTATACTTGATGTGTTTAAGTTAACAAAGTGGTTAATTTTGTTTTGTTTGTGAAAATTGATTTTTTTTTGAATGGTGAAATAACTTGTAATTTTTAAATTAAGTTTGCAGATAATGTACTGATGTATTTGGCTGTTTTACATGTTATGATAATAATAGAATTTATCTTGGAAATTGTTACAAAAAATTATATAGATATGGTGACAAATATTAAAAAAATTGAATTATTATCATGGAAAAAATACTTTCACTCAGTAATGTGTAGAAGCATGTTTTTTGTAACGTAAAGAACACTGCAAGCAATAATTTTAAGAAAAGAATAGTATTACCTTTATTCCCAAATATTGTACTGGTTTGTCTATAGGATGGAACTTTTAGATATTATAACAGGTATTGGATTATTTCCTATAAGTTATATATGTATGACAATATTTGTGCAAAGAAAAGCATGCCCTGAGATTGTTCTCTTTTTGGGTTAAACAAAAAGTAATTTTTAATGCAAAACAATTTTCTTTTTTTAATGGTTTAGGAAATAAACCAGCTTTGTTGAGACAATTAATTTTGAGGTGAAAACAAATTTATAAAAATGTGAACGCTTACAAATTAAATGACTAATTGTAGGTTTAACTGAAAAACAGTGAAATAAATACCTGCTTTGAATCAACATCTTGGTGTTATAAAGTGACTTTTACACATTCTATATTGAGAAAAATTATAAATGTAGATGGCCAGGAGAAATGTCTAGCTGACGATTTGATTTAAACACTGGTAGAAAGTATGCTGTCAAAAGTGTTGGAACATACATGAATTACTATCTAGTTCTCTTGGAATTTCGATTAAAATTATTGGGGCCGGGGTGATGAGAAATATACTGTCATGAGTGCAGCTGCCATGAAATTGCTTACACAACTGTGTCCCAGCTTTAACCCTTGTCAACTGTGCTTGGACCTGATAAGATATCCCAAGTGCACTATTATCACACTGAAGGCAGGTATGGTGAGTAAGAAATGCATTAAGCTTATACCACAATTTCTTCAATAAGTTGTAAAGTATTGATAATTTTGTTTGAAGGCGCCCATATTTCTTTTTTCATTCGTTGTGTGTAAATGTAAATGCTTCCCACAAAAGAAGTCGATGATTGATAAAACATTTACAACTAACATTTTGTCTGTTATATCAAAATTGTAGAACACTTCAAAAAATGATTATTTTAGATAATTTGGTCTGACGTTTTTATAGAAGCAGCCTGGGAAGTGATTATTGAAGTTAAAGGATGAAGTTGTACATATTGCTGTATTCAGCACTACTCACTGCTCATCTGGTTGTGGGACAAGAACTCTTGGAAAATGGTGGGTTTGAGAATGGGAACTTTAAAGGAAATTGGCGATGTGGTGGCTGCACAATGGAGCAGTCCAGTCTGAAGCATTCCGGACAGTTTAGTGTCAAAGTCACAAAAAGGTAATAGAATTGCATATAGTTATCTGAAAATGATTAGATCCATTATAAAGACCCTTGCCCACTTTCTTACAAATTAGTAGTTTCCCAGCAAAAAAAAGTATTCTTAATTTCAAGGCGAATTATAAAAAGTGAAGCCTCTATCTATTTATTCAGATCCAAGGTGCCAAGAAAGGGAGAGCCTAATGCTTCATTTTGTCCTATATATCATTTCAGATCATGTTCCTTCTTGGTAATGGTTTGTTGCTGACAAAATGGGGGATATGGGTTGCTTTGTATCTACTTGTGATCAGTAACTTTTTGATGTCTTTTTTTTTTTTTCGAATTCAGGACATCCTCATCCTCTGGCCCAGTGCAGAGAGTGAAAGCTACCAAAGGAGCATTCTATGAGTTTGAATCATACGTCCAGTTGCTAAATGACCAAGTGGGTGTGGTTCAGACAAGGTTGGAGGCTTGGAGACATGTCAGATATGCAGATGGTAATTACAGAGAGGTGTGACATTGTGAATATGAAAATTAACTGATCCAAAATGTAATTAAATCAAACTTTGCTTGACATTGTATGAGTATAGAATTTATTTTTGAAAATCTTGCAGTCATTATGCTGCCTTAGAGTATAAAAAGATCAAGTTTAAATGGTGTTTTTTTATTGCTACAAAGCAAAAATATTATCAAATTGTATGTTACTGATATTTGTTGTTTTCAAGGTAAAGATGACTGGAAAGCAGTTGCCATAGGACCTTACCTCAGATCCACAGATGGATGGAGGAAAGTAGGGGGATCTTTTAGGGCACCTGATAAAGGTATGAGACAGTACAGGGTGGACAAGAAATTTATAATATTATTAAATATTAATAGATTTGTTGTATGTGGGTCATTTATTGCTTACAGGTATGGAAAATTCACTGTGACACAACACCATCATTGTTATCTTTTATTGACTTTTTTCAAATGTTTCTAGCCACAACCCCCCGCCCCTTGCAAAATTTAAAAACATTTGGTCTTTGCTGTTTAAATCATCTGTGAGCATGGTGATGTGGTGATTTATGTACCTGCAGGACACAGAAGATGAAAAATATGTGAATATATGTAACATGAAATGGTGCCAACCTTTTCCTTCTATCAGATATGCAGTTCCTTGAAATATCTCTTAGAGGACCAGATCCTTCAGTGTCATTCCTTGTTGACAGCATCTCAATGAAGTTAATCCCAGAGTTAAGTGGAAATTGGAAAGCTGATGCACTTCAAAGAATTGAACAGATCAGAAAAGATGATCTCACCATCAAGTATGGAAACACCAACAACTTAAAGTGACTATTTGAAAGTAAAAATGTTTGTACATTGCCTTATGTACACCTCTAGGGTTTGACTTGTATGTTCTATTTGTTAGCACATCTGTAAAAATTGCAGTTCAAAAAGATGATGAACAATTAATGTTTTATAAAAAATTAACTTATCTTTTATTGTAGTTTAACCATAGGAAGTGAGTATAATCTGGATGATGTAGAGGTAGAGGTGAGTAAAATGAATGGATCCATTTATTCCTAGAGAATGATAAAATTTTTAAAACATCAGTTTTGTGGAATGAAATTTTTGTAATGAGAATGACTTTTACATTTTGATAATTTGTTTTTTGCCCAAATATTTCTAGGTAAAACAGACAAGCAGTGCATTTCCCTTTGGGGGAATGATAAAAGCCAGACAAATTGTAGATCCTAACCAGATTAAGTACAGACAGTTTGTGTATGACACATTTGAGTGGACCACGATATCAAATGCACTCAAGTTTAGAATGATGCAGTGGAAACAGGTAATGGAAGATATTTTATTTAGTTCACAAATCATATTTTGTTGCAATAAATAACAGTGGCACATTTTCATTTCTATTGTACATTTTTTTATTACATGCCATTTTGTTTTGTTTTACTTATTAAAACAAAGTTAGTATCAAAAAACTTTCTTTTGTAAAAAGTTATGAGAATTGAGAGCAAAAAAAAAAAGAAAAAAAAAACTGACCCAATATTAACACTATTTTTCAGTATCCAATCGATTATGACACACCACGATTAGCAATAGAGGAGTTGCTGTCTCATGGGTGGGTTTACCATACAGAAAAGTTTAGAGTGAAGAATGTAATTATTTATAATTTCATTGCTTTTTATAATTATTATTTATCAATAAAAACATGTTTGGCCCAGTTCAAACTTATTTGCATTCTTGAATTTCTTTAAATTGTTAATATGTTATTGAACTTTAGTGTGTAAATCTGTAATAATTATTCTTTTAAGTAATTGTTCTTAAAAGGTGAACATTCATATTCCAGTGTAAAGATTCGAGGTCACAATGTTGTATGGGGAGTTGAAGACAATGTTCCCAAATGGTTGAAGACAATGACAGCAGATCAGGTGAAAGCAGCATTAGATGCCAGGATTCAAGGTGTGGTAGGGACCTTCAAGGGAAAGTAAGTGTATTTTATGTGCATATTGTGTTTATGGTTCCTTTTCAAGAATAAAGTCCTTGTGAAAACATGGCAGGTGTAAATATGTCAGGTACATGTATATGTTAGGTGTAATGCTTAAGAGGCCAGAGCTATTTACAACAAACTGAATGATTCAACACATACACACAAAACATGAACCAATTTTAATTCATTGTAAATTTTATTTTGAATATAGAAGATTGTGATATTGAAGCCCTTTCTTTTTCTTAGATTATCTACAAAATTATTATTATTATTATTATTATTATTATTATTATTATTATTCTGTGAAGTTTGTCTCACTGGGATGTGAACAATGAGGTAATTGCTGGACATGGAGATTGGTTTGAGCAGAACACTGGAGACAGATACATCACAGAGAAGATGTTTCAGAAGATTCACTCCATAGACCCAGACGTCAAACTGTTCCATAATGAATTCAGAGTCATCAACTCAGGGGCTATCACTGATGTAAGTGTTGTATATACATTTTCAGTGGTGAATTGTTTCCACTGTATGCTAAAAAAGACGTGTTTATGGTCAGTTTTTATTATGAGGTTTTGCAATCAATGCATTATGTAATTTCATTACACAATCTGTTATGAAATAAATGTTTAACCTTATCAGTAATAAACTCTCTTTTCTAATAATCAAGGTAACTTTTTTTATTCATTTTATGTCTGCCTAAGATTAACATTGACACAACAGTACAATATTTTGCTCACAACATGACTGCTTGGTTTAACCTGTATTTTATGTCCATTCAATTTTATAATTGTGTGTGTTTTCAGGCATATGTGGACATGATACAGGAGTACAAAGCTAAAGGTCTCCCTTTGTATGGTATTGGAGTACAGGGTCATCTACCAGTAGGACCACCAGATATTCTGAAAATTCAGGTACCCATATAACGATTAATATTTCATTGGTATTTCCCTTTCCTTTCATTGATAGTAGCATTAGTTCTGGAAAGGATTTTGGTTTAGTAAAACATAGTTACTAATTTTATGGCAACATATGCCCATCAAAAAGATTGTATTGTGTTTTATTTTGTTTTGTGTGCCACTCTTTCAGATATGCTTAAGATTGAGAAGGACAAAGAACTTTAGAATCAGATGCTTTATTTACTTTTTATTCTCAGTAAATGCAAAAAGGGGGTTAAATATATATATATATATATATATATATATATATATATATATATATATATATATATATATATATATTTTTTTTTTTTTTTTTTTTTTTTTTTTTTTTTGCAAAACGAGTACATATTGCCTGGTCTGTATCAATATTATGATGCTTATTTGTCAAAACTGTTGGATGTAAAAAAATATGTGCACTTAAGTCATTTGGTAGATTGGTTGAAATTATTATGTTGTTATATAATATCGTATATTTTAAATATTTTACATGACATTTTCTTCATGTGGCTTAACATACCAAATATAAACTCACATTTGTTCTCTGCTTTAATTCCAGCAAAACCTGGACAAACTAGCAGTGACAGGTCTCCCAGTGTGGATCACAGAGTTAGACATAGAGAGTAGTGATGTTGCCAAGAGAGGGGAATACTATGAGGATGTGATGACCTATCTGTTCAGCCATCCTGCAGTCCAGGGGATTATACTCTGGGTGTGGCATGATAATGGGAAACCATGGAGAGATAATGTGAACTTGGCACAGGGCAATGGAGACGCATTTCAGGTGAATTTAAGAAGGGTGATTTGTTGAGTATTTATTGTCTCTGATCAATGAAAAGGCTGTAGAAGGGAAATTAAGGATGTGTTAGATGATTTGATATCTCTTTGTGCAAAACATATTACCAAACTTACTTACTGAATAGTCTGCTGTGATTGTGTCACATTGTTTTGCACTAAAAGGCAAAGATTGTCTTTCTTTCATGTTTTCTAATGACGCCCAATGATAATCATATAATTGTCTTTAGAAAAAGCAATTCTTCACTTTGTTGCAATTTTGAAAGACAATTTTTTGTGTATATTGATTTGATATCTTTTTAAGTTTTATCAGTTGCAGCTTTCAATTATCATGTTTTTTTTTATCTAGCCAAGCCTATTGTATTAATTCTCAATATTGCAGGTAAATGCAGCAGGATTGAGAGTCAGACAATTACTGAAAAAAACTTGGAGAACAAATGTGGTTCAAAAACCCACTGCTCACAGTAGCACCCTGAGACTCAGAGGTAAGATATACCAGCTAAATGTATTAGGTTCCTTGGTTAATTTTACATTCATTTCTACATGTACTGCAATATTTGGTTTGAAAGCAGCATGTCATCCAATTTTGTCATCTCTGTGTTGCTGGACTGTAACTTTCAGCTGGCTGGACTAAAAATGTAGTAACTTCAATAGAATAGGGGGGTCTATAGTAACAACTTCTTATGACCATATTAGCAGACTATATGAATTTACTGCATGATAGGATGCCTAGTTTATATTACTGCAATCTCCAGATGTGCAATAGTTTTCTTTCCCATCCATTTCAGGATTCAAGGGTGAGTACACAATCACCATTAAAAACAAAGGGGCACCAGTGACACAGAAGTCAGTAACCCTTGGACAGGGAGGTGTGACTACAAGTTTACAAGCTGGCTCCCTGTCTACCACTACACTATCATCAGGTCTAACCTGTGTCAACAGATGGTCTGGGTTTTCAGAGATTGGAGATGACAAACCTGTTGCAGTTCCTTGTGGAAAGGGAGAAATAATGACTGGGTGTTCTTCTAGGTCAAGAGTGGGTATTTTTGCCTCCATTGGAAAGTAATGAATACAAATATCAAATAGGGCTTCAAACCAAAGTCATTTTCCATTCTTCATCATTCTAAATGAATTAGAGCTTTTCAAACCAGCATGTTGTGTATGTGTGTGTTGGTATTTGTTTCATTGGATTTTGAGTGATAATTGAAAATTATCAGAATCTAATGGTTGTTTCAATAATTATGGATATTAATTTTTAGGATAATAAAGAAAATCGGGATGGAGAAGTATTTGGGTGGGATCCCACAATCAATCAGCGTGTATGCAAGGCATATAATGGGCATGGATCTACAGCCCCTGTACAGGCCATTGCTAGATGCTGTAAGGGGCCTTCAGATTTACAATGTAGTTATTCAAGTTCACAGGTTTCTGCAAAAGGTGATGGTGAACAAGCTGTGAGGATGTGTCCTGCTGGAAGTGTGCCAACAGGTACATTTTTAAGTTAAAACTTTTAGGATAATAAAGAAAAATAAAGGAATAATCAGATAAAGGAAATAATATTAGATAATAAAAATAATAGTGAGAAAAATGCAGATGATCTAATCATTTTTATATAGTGAATATGATTACTCTGTCTTTTAAATATAGTTTTGTTGTGAAGTTTAACTTATTATTTTGTTAATCGTGTTGTACTACATATCTACACTAAAACATTTTTTCACTTTTTTATTTTAGGTTGCACCACCCATAATTATTTTGCAGCTTTTGATGGATCTTTTCCTAAAATGAACAAGACAGCTTGTGTTGCACAAAATGATGGGGTAAAAGGCGGTAAGCACAAATTAGCAGACAACCATGAAAAATGATAAAAACCACTAGGTAAAATCACCTTCCAGTGTTGTGCAATTGTTGTGTACGATATGTTGTGCAGGTATATTGTCTCTGTAGTACTTGATGTGATAAGTGATGTAATGAGGTGTTTGTTGTTAACAGGTAAAAAAATCACTACTATTTTCAACTGTTTATCATTGTCTTCAGGTGTGTTCTCTCATGCTGCCTGTTGTAAAGCAAATGGCCTCCAGTGTGTAGTGAAATATTCAGACCGTAGTGGTGACTTTAGGGGTAATATCACTGCAGTGACTTGTGATGCAGGATATACCATCACTGGGTGTAATGTCTTCAATGAGTTTGGTGGCACTGCAGGTGCATTTACTGGTAGGTACATAGAGAATTTCTGTAAATACTTGCCCTGTAGAAGACGGAGAGAGAGAGAGAGAGGTGGACAGACAGACAGACAGCTAGGCAAGTGGGCGGTCTTACAAACAGACAAAGGTTCTTCATGTGGATAAATTTTAAAATCTCCTGCGCATTCTTAGCTATTTTAAAACAGACCTACCAACTGAGCCACCAACCTTAGTCCCTTTTGAGAAAACCACAAATCTTACTGGATTCTAAACTAACATGTGGACTTGGAAATTGGAAAGGTGGAGTCATTACCATACCCAATGCAGCCAATTTATGCATTTACTTGACTGTTCTTGAAAAACTGATGCTATGATATTTTTCTTATATTTAAATGCCAAAATGAAACTAAAATTGATGGAAAAAAGAAAATCACAAACAAAATCTGACTTCATAATACTGTTATTCGTTACAAAGGAAACAAAAATATGTACATTTATATTTTGATTTGAATATTCAGTCACAGTATATATACAGAGAGAAACAACAGATATTTTATGGATATTTGTAAGTAATAAGAAAATGTTAAGTAGATAAATAGTTTAGTTTTCTCCACTTGACTATTCAGTCACAGTATATACAGTATATATAGAGAGAAGGAAACAACAGATATTTTATAGATATTTTTAAGTAATAAGAAAGTGTCAAGTAGATAAATAGTTCAATTTTCCCCATCTTCAGTGTATGTAGATATGTTCAGGGATTTAACCCTGTTCCCCATCCTGGCAGTGCCACAAAAACCACTGGTAGGGCATAGTCAGCTGTAAGCCAGCAGAGCTGAAAGAGAAGGTGCATAAGTAAAATATTTTGATGAAAGGAACCAAGAAGTTGAAGGAACTCAAATATTAAAAAATCAGAATTTCTATGTATCTGCATTCTGAACAAAAGGTCACACTGCATGCACCGTAAACAATGTTTCTCATATCTAAGATGTCATAATTTTTTCTTGCATATTATACATAACTATTCCCATACATCAGTTTCACTATAGATGTACTTACTCAACCAATATCCCAAGCTCTGTTGCAAAATCTTCATCCTGAAAGTTATAAACATAATTGTGAACTATTTTCAAAAAGTGATCATTGTCTAAGTAAATGTATTTTATGAAGTAAACACCCCACACAATGTTACAATATGCAAAAGAAAGTAGACATTGTCAGTCAAATGTGTATTAGAAAAGAAAACATAATAATGGACTATTTTGTCCAAGACTTATTAAGTATCTACACAAAAAAAAAAAAAAAAGATTTTAAAAACTTCATTGATTTTATTTGTCTTGCTCCAAATGAACCACAAAAAATTGCAATCATGAATTCATTAGTAGTCTAATTAAATCTTTTACCCCCTCCATTTTGGCCCTCTTTATGCGGTCCTCTATTATTTCCCACAGCTCTATCCCAGAAATATCCAAGTTAGTGACTACGTCAAAGAACTCTCTTGGGTCTTTGGTTTGCTCAGCATAGTCTAATTTCTCCACATCAGTGAAGTAAAATTTCCTAGGCATGCTATGCATGAAATAAAGTAAATGACGCTACTTTATTTTCTGTTTTGAACACTGTTATGTTAAGTTTGATAAAAATGATTGACTCAACAATGAATTTCATACCATTGGTGGTTAGTAAATTGGATCACTTGTAACATAGACCATACAAATGTGTTAATATAATACATTTTAATATCGTTAATTAATGTGAAATAAACTGACTAAATTAAGTAGCTTACCTTATATCTTCAATTGCATCGCCCGTCTGAAAAGATAAATGGAAAAATAAGATGTAATACAATGATTTGGTAAAAGTTGATCGTAGAAATGTGAATTTTGGGCTTTTTCTCAAGATCGAATATGATTAAGGGGATAAATCAACAATCACTTTCTTTCTCACCTTTTCCGGATCCGACATACATGTGTTAATTTTTACTGTATTATCTACTGAGAAAATGCGTTTTACCTTAGCAGCAACGCCCCGCTGCTTGATGAAGTCACTGCAGCACTGAACTGCAAAAAACACTAGGTAAGAAAGAACAAACATTGTCCACAAATTCGCCAATACTTTTGCCTGTCTACTCGCAAACAATTATGTATGCAAAACACTATGTAGTCAAGATAATGACGTCATGGGTTTATGATGTCACAGCAGGGTACAACCAAGACGTCATGACGTCAGATCGCTTCAGACACTTCGGGCTTCTGAACAGATGAACTCGGAAAACACACTCAAAACACACAAGAACATTTGTTTTTAAATAAAAAAATGAATGAACAAGAAAACTGAGAAGAAAGAAAATACCAAAAAGTTAACGGTAATTAAGTGAAACAAGCTCAGCGACTGACGTGCATATGATTGTTCATATATTACAAAATGTAAATGTTCATTTATTACAACATATGCACGTTGATAATGCTTTTTGCGAGTATCAATAAATATTCACTGGGTGCGACATCTAATTTCACTTACAATTATAAATGTAAAAATAACCGGTTGCATCTTTTCTCAATTACGTGACAATAATTTCGAATTCGGCTTACCGTGAGGTGGAAAGAAGTAATCTGTGAAGAAGTGTGTCTTTATATTTTTAATGTACTATAGTACCCAGCTGAGATAATGATTATTTTTTATCTTAGGAACATGGGGAGGTGATCATCACTGCCTGGCTATTAATGGAAGGAATCGCAACTCGCCCAACCAAGGAGTGTATGCTGTAGCCACTTGCTGCAAAGTGTGATCACAGGCGCTACAGATACTGTGTAAAATGAGGACTTAATCAGTAAAATCAATTCCAATCTGCCTCATATTGCTTAGAGTTTTAGGCTGTCACGAGGATAATATGTTTGTTTAAAAGAATCGATTTATTTTGTTCCAGTGTTCATACATGTAGCGTAAAAATACATTATTTTCACGATATAAAGTAGAACCGTTTTGAGAAACAAAATTTATTCACTGCAGGTGGAATCGATTGTTAATGTGATTCTTTGAGAACCACTTACTTCCATTCAATCTTAAAAGCAGATGTACTTTTATATGTATGTCTTTGACATATACACGCCATCAGCTGAATTTTGTTGGGTAGTTCACGTTGCTGTATGATAACCACGTATGTAATATTTAACAGCAGGTTCCACACCCAACAGTCCATTTATCACAGACCTCGCGTTATTGACAGCAAAAATGACGCGTGCATACCATGGGATTCCCAAAGATACAGCTGGAAACTAACTGAGCTGATACATTTGGACACTAACGCGATGCGTGCCTTTTTTTAATGAAGAAAATCAATCACTCACTTTTATATTTGTAAATTTACACAGAAGATTTAATGGTATATCTCAAGTCCTCCCGGGATACGATTTGCGCGTTCGGTGCGTGTGTGTAGGTGGACGTGTAGGGGGTTGTCGTCGGTTGGGATTACACTAGATACTGTGAGACAGCTCACCTGTTCTTGTGCAGTGCTGCATAACTTCACACAGTGTGCCTAACACTATGCACTATGCAAGTCTACATCTACAAGTAATGAGAAATAGACCCTGATGTATTTACATTATTACAACGTTGATAAAAGTTACCTTCTGATATTCTCCCTAAGCGTGATTCTATGAAAACGCATTTAAACCTCGGTATTTGCTCACCTCATCGTCAAAGATACTGTCACTTTCTCTATTTATTCAAGAAGAATTAAAATGATTAATTTTTTGAATGCGCTTCTCGACATACGTATTTGCTAACTTCTTTCTGAAAATAATATTAACGCTGGAAGAATAAGTAGCTAGGAGTCGGTTGCTCGAATTGACTTCTGCCGATGTTCAAACAGTAGCACCGAACCATTAGCATTAACCATGATCTGAAAACGATGCTTCAATCTCATAGCGGACAGAAGTGATTTAATCCTTTCTTATTATGGAAAAAATATTTCTTGAACGATTGAGAACAAATATCTACTAAACTCCAACCGAAATAGATCCACCTGTAAACTCTCACTGAGATCAAAGGGCAAAGAAACAGACTAACACATGACATTCTATTCAATCATTGTTATTTAGAAATCTTTCTCAAAAGATGTTGACTCATAGTTGTCATAAGGTACCGTTTCACAAGCTCCAATGAGTTTCTACAAAAATCTCAACCATCAGGTAAGATGCAGTGTAAAATGGGTAACTCGGTGAGCTCTTTCCAACAATGTTTTTGCAGTTTAATTATAGCAAAGAGAGCATAAGCCAAATCCGGAGAGCAAGCTCTCGGGTCCATACCTTTATGAAATCTGAATCGATATAGCAAATTTGTCTATTGATAGAACAAATATCTTTCACAAAGAACCTCCCCAGGCCAACGTAAGCGGATACAAATCACATGTTTAGTTTGGTCAAATCCAACTATCCATGCAGTTTATTTTTACCGCCAATCCAGCTTATTGTATTAGCTGTGTAATTCTTCATTTTACAACTTTTTCCGGTCCATCAGTTATTTTCTTAAACAATGGCGTGAATTTTGAGGTGATAAATCTCTAACAAAACACCTTTAAGTGATTGTATTTTCTTTTCTTCTCTTTTCCATGCCCCCGTCAATTACTTGTTTATGTCACTTATATCTTTAGCACTACCTTGTAGTGTTTTCGCTCAAAGGGGCAAAGGACAGCCCGCGCGTGTGTTTACGGAAGCCCTCAGTTACTAGGTGATAAAAGGTAGCCAATCATGATCGATTTAACTCGAAAAGTTAGAGGTCATTCATAGTGTGGAACAAGTAACGTAAGACAATATACCTGCGGTACGAATTCTTACTGTAACAGGTATATGTATTACTGAAGTCGTGATTTATAAAAAGAACCGCTGTTACGGTATATATTCTAGATGGCCCCGAGCTGATGTCTGACTTGATCATCACAGAAGAAAAAAGGAAGACACACAAAGCCACCATGGCTCATCATTTCAAGATAGCGACCCATGTAACATGAGACACAGGTATGTTAAAATACACAGCCTAGAAGATTAACTGTTTTTTGTTATTTCCTTTTGAATGATCAGACATTACAGGTATACTGCAAGATTTCACACACTTGAGAATTTTGTTTTTAGAGCTTGATATAGTGACGGAAGTATGGTAGGCCTATCACTGTTATCACCATCACTGGGGTAAACAGACAAGACGGACAAGATAATGGTGTATACCTACAATAATCTGGTCTCCCACGCCGACTGAGGCAAAGTTTATCATTGTGTCTGAAATCCCACGGTATCCCCTTACACCTCGTGCTACAAGTTTTTTCTTGGCCTTTTATCTAAATTGCTCCTTGACTATGATAAAAAATACTGTTCTTTGGACCTGAATATAACCTATAGACCGCGCTTATTTCTTTTCGTCGTCAAAAGATATGTTCACTATAAGAAGTGGTGTTTATACTTTTTATGACTATTATGCAACGAATAAAAACATTTTAAGTCGAAATAGAGCAGAACACAGAGTTAGAGAGTTATTTTCTTAAAGATGTTATTACAAAACAGGTGTGTTCTTTTAAATGTTTTCAGAAACGGGTAAGGTGGTTTCTTGGCTTACATTTTTCTCTAAGGGGCATCAATCCTTTACAGAAGTCTGAAGTAATAATGATAATAATGATGTTGACTCTGACGCGAATAACGTTAAAAAAGACAACGAATGATTAATATTATGGAAAAATTAAGAATTTTGGGAAAAAATAACAAAGTAGTAAAAAGTTGAAAATAAAGTATATAGTAAAATATGAAGTAAGGAAATTTGGACAGGGTCTGAATTTTATTTACACATTTTTGCAAACCATTTTAGTAAAGTATTGCCTTTATGTCGCTGTTATAATAAAAGTAGTAGTGACACAGTAAGTCATTAAAAGTTAGTTGTTTGATCGATATGCTGTTATATGAACACGATTGAAATACCCTACCTTTAATTAGCACTGAGTTTGACCCGTGATTGTTGATTGCTGATTATTTCGTGTAGTAATCAATCAGCTGACAAAAGCTCGCGTTCCGATTCTAAGCTTACATTTAAGTAAGTGGGATTTACGTACCAAATGACTTCAGACTTCTGTAAAGGATTGATGCCCCTGTCGTCAATTATTAAGCACTTATAACTCCTATCGGCAATGGTAGAAATATGCAAACATTTGTTAATACTCATAGAAAAGGAAAACGAAATTCAGATACATGGCCAATCGTTAGGTTAAAAGTATCTCTGTTACATCTGCGCCGGTAACATGATACGTAAAAATAGAATTGCTTGGGTGGGAACATTGTCTATTTGTTCCATGACACTTTTTGCAGACAGATGTAATTATGGAGGAGCACGTTAAAGTATCATAGTATTTTTCCAGACTTACGTGTTTAATCACGAAAGAAGAAAAGTCACAAGCGAATGTTTTGATATCCGCGAAATATTTAGATCGATGCATTGACAGCTGAGCATGCACAGGAGACCATTTTGTTCAATGACGCTAAAGAAAAAGTACACAATTACACGCTCAGTGCATTACGCAACACATAAAAGTTGCAATAATTATTGTTATTACAGGCGATGGAAGTTTCTGTTTAATTCAAACAGCGGTTGTTTCGTTCACGTGTTTTCTGGTTACGATAATAAATCCGCTATATTCAGCTAAGGGTTTTGTTGCAAATTAATGACGACCTCAGAGACATTAATGCTATAGCTACCAATAAATTTTACAATACTGCTAAACTTTTATAGCCGATGTGGAAACTGTAATTTTTCGCGTAAAATCAGTTCATTTTTTCGAGGAAAACCTGGCACTTGCCGCAAACATTGCTGGCATGTGAAAAATTGATCTTTTGTCATGTGTACTTCTTGACTTTCCACATTGGGGGTACGGTTCAAGTGTGAGTAATCTCCCTAACATTCTGGTCACTTCTTTATGTCGCTCTAGTAACTTCCCTGCTTTCATCCATCAATTTATTTCTCAGGGTCCTGTTAATATGTTGAGGAATTGAATAGCATAGTCGAGAATTTTGTGAAGTAACTCACAAAAGCAAGCGATTGACTTCTCACAGGTTAGAAGAGGATTTAATTGCACCAGTGACATAGGGTTCGAGAAAGATGCAATATTCGCATCACTATCTGATTGCCAACACAAAATTGTTATTTTCACATCACGCCAGGAGATCCGAGGCGTGCATGTCAGTGTGTGTTGACATTTCAGATCTTCACGCGACTTCGGGGTTGTCCCCTTAATCTATCCATACGATGAACTTCATTTTAGAAGGATTAGAGTAAATCAGACAGTTCTGACGTTGGGTTTGATGCTCACTTCATTTAAGTAAAGAATGACGCAGACCGATAATCTGATGATCAAATTTACATTTTCTGTGTGAAAACAGGCCACAGAGAAAAGGGGGCATAGGCCACCGTGATTTAAACAGTACTGACACAACGATATCAACTCCCAGGGTAGAAATTTAAGCTGTATTATTCAACTGCTGAGCTTGTCGCAGACTTTTAACTATTGTTTTGGAATATTTTGCTTATTGGAGGCTTTGAATTTAATGAATAATTATAACAAAGGCTAGAAACCAGTGTTTGCGATAACTAGAACCAATGAGGCACACGGTATGCCCATACTGAAAAAAGCTTCGGCTGAAGCGCGACGCAGTCATTTTTCTTTTCATTTTCACGATACAATATTGGTGATGAGAAATAATGCACTTTCGGCAATGGGTTTGTTACAGTATCAAAACACGAGGAATATAGGGCAAGGTTGTCGAAAATTAGATACACAGAGCGTGAAAGGCATTTCTAATTGGATCAATCGCTTCTGTTATTCTTTTTATCCCACAAACTAATGGTTTTGAAATCGCCCAGAATAGCGACGTGACGTCACACATAGTAGAATGCATGTGTACAGTATCGGGTTTTGGAAATTGAAACAACACAATGAAAATAAGAATAATGTCATACGGCCGGGGGTCAACATTGCAAGGGGGAATGCGAAAAGGAGGTGAAACGTAACCAGTCAGCCGAGGGAGACAGGTGGAGTTTAATAATCAAACAAGAGCTTAAGTCTCAAAAAAGCCATTGTGCGTATTCTAGCCGACGCGCGGTAAGCATGCTCACTCCTAGGAAGCTTACGTGAGGGGTTGGTCGTTATGGTATACAAGAGATAATCTCTGTATGATCGATCACGGTGAGTGATATAAAAATGGGATTGGCGCTGATGCCACTATTTATTTTACAGACACAATCTATCAGGAAATGTAAAAATCACAATGAGCAGGTCTATATTAAGATATTGATTTGGAAAAGTAATCCTTAAAATAATAGTAATCGACAACAATTGTGTGTAAATTTGGGCTTTTCAAGCTGTCAATTTTGTACCGTTTTGTATAAACTGGCGGCAAACCTGCACTGCAAAATCAGCCCAGTGATAGTTTGAACTGACGCAGTCATTACGGTAAAAAGCGACCACATTGAGTTTGTTCTTAATTTAGTTTGAAGCTCAATCTATTTCAATTTTCCCTTAAATCCTGAAAAAACACTCACATGTGTAAAACCATCTGTTATAAAGTGTTTCTTCTTTTTGCTGAAAAGCAGCCGCTTGGCTTACTTGATTATATAAAATTCTTTCGGATAATTTTAGGGTAGTAATATTGAATCATAAAACTGGCTCGGCGGTCGCGTGCCCAGCCTCTACATGAATTATTTCCAGTAGTTTTTAAAGGTCTGTTGCCTTGATCACGATTAATTCTAATATTAATTGGGTTATCAAGTCGTTGGCAATCTACGATCGCTGTGTGTACTGAGGAAGCTGCATAATCGACCTCCCAGCACAACGATCTAAATAAACGGAAATTAGGAGGGAATCAGAGTTATTGATATGCAGCTTTCTGTTCATATACCACTTCATTTTGCATAGATTTCAGCCTAGAATACCTCAGCCATCAACTGGTTACTCTGATCTTCCGTAACAACAGCCTAACAACGGCTTGTATTCAAACAACTGTTGAGGATACTTTACAAAAACAGCCATAGAAATTCCGAGAGAGATTTATTGCGATGCTTGAACGTGAAACTGTGCCAATGTGGTGTTTCAGTTAGTTGAATGGTTAGTTTAACACTTTGTCGGGACTGTATTTAAGTAATGCATAGAAGGGATTTTTTATTAACGTTGAATTTGCGTACTAGTACGTGTATCTTTGCACGCGTGACGCGACGCAGGAGGTCGGAATTTGGTAAGCAGCTCTTTGCAAGTTAAAATCACGTGGAGTCATGTTTTAAAATAACATCCGAAATATGCGATTTCTTAAATTAAAAGGCGTTCAAACAAAAATGCATGTATACGGGTGTGCATGCACGCATCATGTAGGTGTGAAAACAAAGATGCAAGAACACAGTCACACAATCACTCGCGCGTGCACACGACAGACACACGCACACAGTGATCAGAAATGAAATAACAAGTAAACTAATATTATATTGTAACCCTCCAGCCCCGCTGGGGGGTTTCTAGACAGAGGTTAATACTGTTATCTAAAAGGGCAAATTTCTTTTTCATTTCAAATATGTTATGCTTGTCTCGTGGTATGGACACGAAAAAGTAATTCTCATACATATACACACACTTAAGTATCTATAAACACTTTCACACTAGCGCTATACTAAGTAGTAGTTTGACTATGTTTTTCTCTAAATCATCATTATTTTTGCATTTCAGTGGGTTAATCTAACGTGAACTTCAACATGGACGACGTCGTGCGGGCCAAGAGTCGGAGGAGGAACGACAAAGAAGTGGCAGCCGTCACTTTCAACATGAAGGCACAGCAAATCCTTGAAAAAACAATGCAGACGCTCTCTCTGGAAGAGGACTATGCCTGCAAGCTCATAGATTTGGAGAATCAGGTGGTCCGCCACAAGTACAGACGGTTTAAGGATAAAGTCGCCAAAATCAAGTCGTATTTAGACGTGGATGAAATCATGGATTTAAGACAGCTCGAAAGGGACGGCAAAATGAAACCTATGATAACTACGTTTAGTTTGAATACGGAATCGAAACTTGCTGCCGCTCAAAGAAGACTTAAGCTTAACCAAAAGGAGAGGACAAAAAGTGCCCCTCCTAGGACCAATAAGACCCCCCAAAACACACCTCGAACGCAGAGGACTCCAAGAGAAACTTCCTGGCTGCTAACTTCAGCTAGCAGCTCTCCGCCACCCCCGGCACCTCTGAGGCGTGCCAACTCCGTATCAGGGGCGTTCATAGACTCTCCCTGCCCGGAATCCAAGAGGAGGCGGAGTTCCATCGATGCTTCCGTCGAAACACCGACTGACAGTGAAAATAAACCCGCGGCTGAAGACAGCAAACCCCGCGTACTGCTAGAACGTCGGGCCACCACTGCTGGCCAACGTACCAAACCTAGAAAAGAACCACCACCTCAGCTTCAACGTTCTCAAACCGCTTTAGGTCACAGAAACGTGAATCTGTCTTATTCCTCGCATGCTGTGGCAGAAAAAGACGCTGAAAAAGCTGCTAGAAAACAAGCTAAATTGGAAGCAGAGGAATCAAAACCTCAGCGGACTAGACACATGTCGGCCTCTTCCGATTCTTCCACGGGGAGTACGTTTGGCATAGACCCATATAAACTTCGCAGGAGGGCATTTTTAGCCGGCGAAGAAGACTTCCAGTCAAAAATATTCAGCACTAAAAAAGATAATTTTCTAGAACGTGTTCAAAGAACGGTAGCGGAAAACCCACCCAGCCGACCCCCCAGTCAAATGGATGCTGAACAGATTATAAAATCAATAGAAAAACCGAAAAATGATCGCAAAGAGAACAAAAGATCTGTTGTGGCTCCAAAGGCCATCAGACGCTTGATGGAACGTGATAATTCCTTCAGTTCCTTAGCAAACCTTTCAGAAGAAGAACAAGCAAGAAAATTAATGGAACAGTGGGAGGATCTTAAGAAATGTAGGTATCTGCGAATTCCACCAGCGATGGAGGATCTGTCGGGAGTGAACACGCTTGCTGTGGATAACCTTAAACTGCTGCATTCGCTCCGCTACGCGCCGCCCGACCAGTCGGGGTTCGGAGTGGCCGTAGTGGCGGACAGGCAGGTGCTTAGTAGAAATAACCTGAATGCCGTGCCCAGTTGAAATCTAAAGCGAAAGTCAGTGTTTGCTGTGTTTTGCGCTGAATTTTGAGATCCTGTTGGGAATTATAATGTTTGCATAGTTGCACATTCAGAGAAGCTTGATTAAACTAGATATTTTACTGCACACTCACTAAATCGAGGGGGGGCGTTTGGAATGACATTTTTTTGCGAACAATTGCTTGTTATTGCACTAGATCTGAATTTTGAGTTGGTTCTCACATATATCTGAAACTAGGGACTGGATTTTCGATGATATCCCGTAGGTCGGTGGGTGGGGTGGGCCCATTTAAATTCTGCTTGTCTACTGGGTGAAAAGTTTTTGCAACTTTCAAGCAGAATGTTTTCACTGTGATGCAACGTATATGAGCTACGCACATAACTAATATAGATAAGAATCGAAGATGTGGTGTGCAATTAATGATAAAACCATCCGAAAATATGTAACGCTTTTTATTTTGTTTCAATAGTTAAGTTTTTAACTGACTGATTAATTGATCATGGATTATTGATAACTTAATTAACTTATTCATCGATATAGTAAAGTAGTAAGTGAAAGGACAGTAGGTCTATTTGACCGGCTGCATGCTAACCGCTTTTGTGATATGAACAATAACTGTATTATTTTTTACTGGAAACCATTCCTGGCTTCTGTGCAATACTATTTATGCCAACAAGTAAGGACGGTGCCTGATTGTAATTTTTTATTGTGTTTATGTAAATGCTCGCACGCAGTTTGTAATATGTCGTTTTTTGAATGATATATTAAATACTAATGCTTCACGTATTGTGTATGGTTTGTTTGCACGTTCAACAGGATACATGTGATCACCTGTTTTATTTTTCATCACCGACTTTGCAGAGTACTTCACAACGGGGGCGTCTCGATAGTCCGAAGGTTCATTGGTCCGAAAAGTGGTAACATTTTCATCGATTTTTTAATCAAGGGTTCATTGGTCCGAAGGTTCTATAGTGAACATTCGGACCAATGAACCTTCGGACTATTGAACCTTCGGACTATCGCTACGGCCCCCTTCACAACTTCTTCACGTATTACTGAATGTGTCTGCTGGTAAACATATCGTTATATAAGTAAATTTAGCTCTTCCTTTTATACTCACTTTAAGCGCTAGAATAGAGAAAAATATTCTTCGCTACGTAGTTGCTGAGTATAATTGTTTATCTCTCAGTTATTTTACGAGGACGAAAGGAGTTCAGAAAAGGATAAGCTGAATTTATTTCAGCTGAAGGTCATGACTTTTATCACAGTTGTAGTAATGTCGCACTTTCTTAACATCAAGCTCGCTCAGTGTGATTCTTTGTCCGATCATCACACCTTTAACACGAGGGATGATAGTGTCGCGGCCATTCTTTGAAAACGCTTTCTCGCTGTAATGCATCACGCTGCCGAAGTCATATGGAAGGTTCAGTCCGTCTGCTGTCTGGGGGTTGTATTTGTCAAAATTCATTGCGTGCCCTGAAATGGTAAGCAGTATTATTTAAACATACACAATGGTAAAATTCGTTTTGTATCAAGGGGCAATCGGCGTGTGGATACGCAGCATTGCGTTAGTTGCGACGACGAATGCAGTTTGCTCAACAGATGGTCCCACGTTTTCCATATTTCATTACAGTTTTGAAAAATAGTTTCTTTGATATTCTTTGAGGCAAAATGACGATGTTCCTTGCAAATAAATAATATATAAATATGTCACACTGAAAAATAACGAAACGCTTCATTTTAAATGGCCGAAAGTGGTCACCTGTCCTGAAGTATCGTGGGATACGCCGTTAAATTCAAAACAGAAAGTGCTGGAGAATTTCCTACCGTCCTCGATATTTTCCCAGGCAATCTTTACCATGCCATCTCTGTCAGTACGGCTCTGTTCGTGTAGGAACCCCAGCACGTGCATCATCTCATGCATGACTTTCCCTGGAAGATACAGGCATGGAATCCCTAGGGATGTAACTTGTTTACCACCGTCACGGCCCAGCTTAGAATAACAGCTGAAATGATAGATGTCCAGGTCGATCAAATAGAATTCAGTGATATTCTACGCCTATTTGGTTAGTAAGATCGTACATCGTGTATGTCCACGATATTATTTGGACAAAAAGTTAAAATTATATATTAGCTTTGCTTTGATATAACAAAAAACTGCTATGGTAAGACCATAAACAATATAGGCTACCCGAAATTTATTAAATAAGGAATCAAAGATAAATCCCAATACTCACCTTGGTTTCACAGGACTGATAAAAACGTAATCCTTCTCTTGGAATCTGGGAAGAAAATGAATACAGGGACCCTTTTTATTCACGAGACGCTCAAACTCGCGCAATGCACTAGTGATAGCCTTACTCTGCCATGACACTAAAATTGAAAAGAAAAACAATAAAACAAATGCTGCACAAATAATATAAATAATAATGATAATAACAACAACAACAAAAACAATAATTATGATATACTAAGGACAGATTTAATAGAAGGTTCATGCTATCATGGATAATGTAATGATGAATAAATCATTGTCATATAAATATGTGTAAAAAGAAACGTATTATATTTTAGAATATCACGTTTTCTTGCCATATTTCTGGTCAATCTCATAAAACACAGTTCCATTCTTCCATTTACTTGCAGACAAAATTACGTTACGCTTCTGAAAATTCAAAAAGAAAATGGATGTAGTTATCACGAATTAAACTTTTCCACTCCGCTACAAATGAGAAATATGAAGCTACGGTTATGCTAAATTTTAGTCATTGTGTCACATCTCAAAATAAATAACGCGAGAATGTCATATAAAAATATTTAAACGCATTTATACTACGCGACTTACGGCGAACGTGGAATTCGGATATATAGGCCTATTAACATTATAGAAAATAAGAAGGGAAGTTAAAAAGAAATGCGACTCGTGGATTCTGGGTAAACTACATACCAGACCGTCACTACTGATGTCAATGTCACCCTCAAATTTCCCTAGGAGTAAAGATATAAGTCACAGTTATGACTATAATTTTTAAAGAATAAAATACATTATTGTAAACTATTAATTTAATTTGTGTGTGTGTGTGTGTGTGTGTGTGTGTGTATCTGCTGTGTGTGTGTGTGAGAGAGAGAGAGAGAGAGAGCGCTCACCTGCTTCTTCGGGGTCTTTTGGGTCTGGACCTATGTGAAGAACAGGATAATTTCCATTAAATAGAAGAAATAAAGCAAAATACCTTACTGTGCAACACGCTGTCATGTGAATTATTCTTAATCTGAATAAGTTCAAGATCCGTGTTGTGTAGTATTTTCAAATATGATCAATTTAATTTTAGAATCCAAGCTATAAACGAATGCTATGAAATGTCATAATTGTAGCACAGCAGAGAAGTGACACTGTTTAACTCAGATGTGGTTACTTCCATTACTATTTCGTTCGTGTTTCAAAGACATTCCAAATTTAAGCAGATAGTATACCTTCGCTTAGCAGGAAACCCTTGGCCACCTAGAATTTAATGAATATTTCTTATTATTACTCATTCGTCATTTTCATTTCTCACTTCTAGCAAAGGATTCTCTCTTCGTAATACATGCATTAAAACGCTTATCAATTCATGTCCCAACTTGAGGGTCTGTGCTCACTATGTGTTTGTTAAACATAAAAATCAAGTTATGTTTATTGACAGCACCTGCGTTTATGCCTTGAATGCCAATTATCACTGCAATCATTACATAATTTAAAACAATCCTTTAAAACTCACCGTGCGATGAGACAGGTCTGAATCTAGCAACAGCGCGATCAACATAAGCCATCTCAGGGAAGATATGGCCAAAGTCACCCGCGCCATTTTCCTTGCCGTGTACACCGTGACCCTGTCCCCAGCAAAGCACCTGTATGTTACGGGAAATTATCCAAGCATGCACGGTGTGACTCTGATCTCAGGCTGAGAATCACACAGATGTGTCTATCGTGTCATTTTATCTACAGCAAGTGGCCTTAATGAGAGACGTTTTCAATGCTATTCTCAGTAGTAGCCATTTCCTCGACTTAATATCAAAATGCAATTTTGACATGATGTTTAAAACACTGTTGCTTGAATGATGCGCAATGTAAACATAACTTGTACACAAAAAAGTTAAATTGTTATTGTTTATTTTATTACTTTCATTTCAGGTGCAGTGATTCCGTTAACCACAAAGAGCTAGCTGGCTTGCTGAAAGGACAGTTCATCTCATGATATTTTTAAGAACTTCGTAACTCCTTCTAGTACAATGGTTTAATGTGCAATTCCTGATGCTGTACACCGCTTGTGAGAGTCTTAGTTAGTAAGCGATTGCTGTGCGTTGTATGCTGAATGCTGAAAATAGACCTGTCTAAAGTTACAAGGCGCTATGGAATACTGGATAGAGGCAAAAACATGATATCAGAGTGAAGGGATTTGAAACATCACCGGCACAGATGGAGTCATTTTTTTAATTGTTGTATGATAGAGATCTCAGTAAGGGAATTCGACCGAACCCTCAAACCCCTGTGAATCTGTCCTGATTAAACTATCTTTAGATAGTGATTTGATGATACTGCTGTGTCAAGCATCTTGGCTTTTATTTTCTAATTAAATGGTATTCATGTTCTATTTTATAATTCTATTTTTTTCTGTAATAAGAAGCCTTTTTATTGTGTACGTTTATTGGGTCTTTAATAACGATTTAAACTTTAGATAATGTAGTAGAAAAGATGTCTTCTCTTGTGCCAAACCTTTATATATAGTTTTTAAAAGATAGATTTTAGTATTATTGTTGTGTTTGAAAACCTTGTCCAGAGAATACTTTTATATTTGTTAAACCTCCAGATAACAAGTTGGAGATTTCAAATGATGACAGAAGTTAAGGGGTGCTTTATGTATTTATATGGTCTGTGATCTGTGGAATATGTAAATAATTTTTTAAAATAAACAGTATATTAACAGTAGGCTATATTTTGTTAACACGGTGGTCTATGAGACAATAACTTTCGGTTAAATTAGTTTTGCCGTAGCTATATGAAATGCATTTTGATATAAGAGAGAAAACAGCATATTTCGCGATTTATTACCTTTACATGACCTATGACTATGTTAAATTGAATTTAATTCGAGTTACTCATTATGGCGAGAGAAGGTTATAGTTAATGGATTTCAATCGTCATGTAGGCGACACGGAATGGTTTGATAAAAACGTTTTGACAGTGAATCTGTGTACTTCAGAGAGTGCAATTTTCTTCTATGGGGAATAAGAGGCCGTGCATAGAGATCACACTAAGAGCAGACGAAAAACTGCCCGTAACTTGGCCCTATTGAATCAAGAAGGCCCTAATTCTTTTCTTTATCTATGGTTACTTTTTCGACAACGCGTTAACGCACCTTTACCCAAAGTGTAACGGTATGTACTTTGTTTCTGCATTTGATTCGTTTGGTATTAAACTACTACACATTCCCAGATTGTAGCGGCTGTTGATAATTTATCGGACTGAGGGCACCCTGAGCTTCAGAGATAACTTGCCACTAACCTCTTCACTATAGCCTATCTTCATCGTGTCAAGTTACCTCTGACGAAAATAGTTTGACCTAGTTTATATAAGCCAATCGAATCCATGTTTCAAAATTTTTCACCGTCAATCGGCAATCCTCGGCTGATTCCGCAAGCTCCATACTAACAACAAAGTTATTGTCGAGTGCGGAGACATCCGAGTAGTTCCGAGTGTATAACCGTACACAAAGAAAGCATGGCGTCTCCTACGAGCACCCTGAGCTTCNCTAGTTGGGTGGGTCAAAATGGCGTTGTGCGTGAGCCTTTGCATTTATATATGATACTGCATGACGAACACCGTGTTTCAAGTGCAGGTTTTATGTATGGGGGTCACTTTTTAGGATAATTAGAATACATTTTGAACATTCAATATTTAGGCCTACACTTGCTTAAATCCTAAGTCAATCAGATTACATGATATTACCCGTTTCATTGATGTATTTCCGGGAGTAGCCGAGTACACATAAGAAAACAACAGAAATTAGCCAATGACACGTTTGACGTCAATGATAGACAGATATGAGGGTTAACGATGCATAAATGTCATAAATGACTCTTGCCTCGCCTCGCTATCCTTTAAAAATTATGTTACAATATCAAGGGAAACTTATCCAGCTCCCTTTACCCATTAAAATCGCATTCGACTGTGGTTAAACGATAAATGATTCCTTGATTTTAACAGGAAATAAGATCTAATTCCTTGACTGAAACGACCGTATGAACAGGACTCGACTATAAACTCTCACATCTTCAAAAACGCAATGTAACGGGGATCTACCAAGATTGTACCGATTGCGCTTGTTGTGCCGACATCCCATTCAACCAATCGCGGGAATGTAACCATTTACTGCTGAGCAATTACAACACCTGCGACTGGAATGGCTAAGGTTTGTTATCTTTGTTTATCTTTGCTATCGCGCAATTATTTGGATAGTCTGGTTACAAACTGTTGCATTACTTTCGTTAATGACACAGACATAGTTTATCTCTTGCTATATCGTTAATGTAGAACTTAGGTGATAGCATGAAATGGTAATGGCTGTATTTTGAGAGGGGGGTAAGAGCCAGTAGAGGAACATGTCTCAAACTCACTCATGCATAGTTAACTGGAGTATCAAGCCAGAATGCAGGGTGTTAATGGCTAGTCGGAATTCACATTAACGGACGCATTATTTTGATGAGTCTCCGGCGTCACGAAATATTTCTTAATGATTATCCTACATAAACAACAATAGCGCCTTTTATACTACTCTCTCCGCTACACTAAAAGCAAATATGGGAGCTGCCTGTATCTTCAGCACTAAAGAAGAACGTAAAGCAATTTATTTAGAATAAAATAAAGGTTATTTTTGATGAACATCAACTCTGAGGCACCTGCTGAAAAAGATCTGTATGGAAATTTAGCTTGCTTTTTCCACTGCTGTCTGCTCTAGGGTATCAACAAAACTAGTCATTTTTTCCTAGGACAGGTTGTAATTATTTTAGTGATTTATATCTATGGCTATCATGCATCGGAACAAACTATATATCACAACATGGAATGTATGAATTTGTATATGAAGGCTAATGGGCATGTAGTGTATGAAATGTGCAGATTGATAGGCAGTTGAGAAGTGTTTTTCATGTTTAGTACATGTAGTATGTAAAGGGAATTCCCCTTTGTGAGAGTTATTTGTTTGACAGTTTCCCCTTTAATATATATTTCTGCTAGGCACTGAGCATTACTTCTAGTCAGAGGCTGCAGTTTTAATCTGTATTAGCAATTGTTCTTTTATTGCTACTTTTATTGACTGAATTTGTGTCAGTCTGACAGATTGACTTGAAATGATTATTGTATGTTTTCAGGAGTGTTGACTTTATTCAAGCTGTAGGAGACGGAGAGACATATGGAGGCAGAAGAAGTGTCAATTTTGGGTATGTCATGTAGGCATATTGCTGAAAGAATATTCTCCGTTGAGATGTCAAATTGTGCAAGGAGCCAAATAAGTAAAAAGATTTTACAAAGTTCTTTAAGTGACTTGACAGTTTTGATTGTTATTATTCATGACAATTACTGATAGGCAAAAGTTGAACTGTCAGGATGCACATTCATTTTTATATGACTAAAAACATGTTCATCTTCTTGATGATAACAAAGGAAAGGAATTGCTTGTTTGCAAGTTGATTCCATATTTAATATTGTAATACCAAACACGTAAGTTCTTCCCTTGTTAATGGTAACCACTTTAAAAGGCAGATTTTGAATTCACCAGATCTCCAAATTGTTCCCTTTATGTTTAATGTTAATTTTGCCTTATTTACTTACTTAAAAAATCACTACTGTAAGCCGTCTTGAATTTATTCCCTTCTTTTGCCATTATTAGTCTTTGTTCATGACTTTGAATTCAGTTTTTTTACCACTGCAAAAATCAAATGTTTAAACATGGCAGATATGAAGCACATTTATTTTACTTTTATTTTAATGTGAACATTTGCCACTATGCTGTCTAAATTTGCTTTTCTTATAAATGAAATTCTGAAATTTTATTTATATATTTTTTCTTCTCTTGTGTAGTATTGAGTGGAAGAGGGTTGCAAAGAAGGAAAAAGGGTATGTCTTGATTATGATCTGATATATATCCGACACACTAACACACACTTACAGGTGCATGTACACACACACACACACACACACACACACACACACACACACACACACACACACACACACACACACGTATTGCTTAAAAAAATTACTTTTCTATTTAACTGGGTATTATCTGTGTAGTATTGCCATCTTTCTGTAAATCCTTATCTCTTCCAAAATGTTCTAACAATTTTAGGATGTTTTACAAACTTACAAATAATGCCTTCAAAAAAAGTAAATATTTCCATATAATTGAAACATTACTTTTTGGTTATAGGCAGGGCCAAGTATTCAGTGATATTTGGCATAGGGCAGAGTAAGTTCAGGACCCAGGTTGTCAGTGATCCTCTAGGTAACCCAGAGTGGAATGAGGAGTGCATCATGTAAGTATGTGATTACTATGTGATTACCATACAGAATTTGATATTTGCTCCAGTCTGTTGAACAATATTTAAGTCTTGACCCAAGACCTCCCCCCACACACACATACATATACACACAAAATTGTGGTTTTAAAATTTGAAAGCAATTGCGACACGTGTCACACTCAGCCTAATTGTTTTCTGTATCGTTCCAGTTTGACTAGTCCTAACATATAATTATGCATTCATATTGTTCTGTCATTTTTACTCCCTTTCACAAGCCTACATGTAACGGTCAAAACTAATCTGGTTAACTGACCATGTTGACTGCAAGGACTCTATTTAAGTGACTCTTTTATGTAAAGGCCAGGTTATTAAGTTGTGAATCTCTCATACTATTATAGGTAGGTACAAAAAGACATAAGATAAGCTGTGATATGGAGTTGAATAATGAAAGCCATATAATAAATGACAGAACAATATGAATTCATAATCATTATGATCATCTAATATATATTTTAAACAATTTAAGTGATTTGAACTCATAGTTTTGTACTTTATATCAGATTGGTGTTTCTGTTAATATACCTAATAGTACCTAATAGTTATTGGAAAAAAATTAAAGAAATTCCAGACACTGGGATCATTAAAATATATATTTGATCTAAGCGTTAGCCAGTAACTATAAACTACTGATTTTAGGGTTACTTATTGTACATCAGACTGCAAAGCTAAAAAAATTATCATAGTCACATTTTACTGCAAAGCTTGTTGTCTTTCCCCAACCAAGTTTTTTTTTTTTTTTGGGGGGGGGGGGGGGCAGTGAAAGAAGCTTATCATTTACAGATATCCTATTATTAGTAAGACTACTGTTTCTCATTGTGGGGTTGGGTTTTACTTGGTAGTATAGGACCACCTCTCTGTAATAACTGAGAGATATAATCTTGATATTTTATGCATGGTTTTACTACATAATCCTAGTGTAACCATAGGCATATATGCATTGGGATATGTCTCCTTTTATCATTTGACTCACAGTCTAGCCATAGATGTGTCCTTCTTCAAAATATGTGGGTAAAGCATTTTATTCAATTTTGTTGATGAATGATAACTATACAGCTTATGGAGGTGGGAAATTATTGTTGATTTCTTCTAAGATATGGAAAGTAATGGTTGACTTTGTAAGCAAACTGTGGGAAATGGTGGTTGAAATTGGCCATATCATGATATTAATGCATTTAGATTCTTTGATATATGATTGGAATTGGTTTCTCTTTCCAGCCCTGTACAAGGCAAGGATAAGCTGACATTACTAGTGACAGACAAGGATGAGGTCCTGGGACAAGTGACAGTTCTTATTAGCAGTCTTCCACCAGAGTCTGGGAAACGTCCAGTGGCTGTCCGTCTCCAGGCCCATAAAAAAGCCCAAGACCCACAGGGTGAATTGCTTTACCAGAGCTGTGTTGTCAAGTATGGGTCGTGTAACGCCACAGTCAACAAACCAGATGGACAGACCACTAAAGGTGGGGGATCATTTAAAAAGCTAAAGCAGACTTTAAAAATGTCTCCACACAAGAGGTCAAAGACTGAAGGAAATATCGTGCCTCCATCCTTGGAAGAAAAATCAAACTTAGGAAGACTAAAGAAACTTGCTTCCAAATCCATGTTGGATATAGCCTCACTGTTTATTTCTAATGACGAGAAACAACTGGAAGAGGAAAATACAGGACTGCACAAAACAGCAAGTATCCCCGATCTGTCTCGTAGAAACAGTAATCCACAGTTACTCTCTGCTGTGGAAATGGAAGACATAGACTTAGATTCACAGCCTCACGACGAGCCTCAAATTATCAGTATTTCTCCCACTGAAGGTTCAGTGAAAGGGGGCACAAAAATAACACTGGAAGGAATTAACCTGGGAAAGAACTTGGATGATATCGCAGAATTGAGGGTGTGTGAGGCAGACTGTTTGATGAATGTTGAGTATGAGTCTCCATCTAAGATTTTTTGCACAACCAAGCCTTGGTACGCAAGAGAGGGAAAAGTATACCTTGTGACCAGTTCGGGGGGGTACACTGAAGCCCCACAAAGTTTCAAGTTTTGCGAAGTCAAAGAAATTCCGCCTAAAGAAGAAGAGAAGTTAAATACCACTGACCAGAAACAACATCTCTATGAGCAAAGACAGCAGAAAAAGCCAAGGCCTGAAAAACCAGCAAGAAAGGTAGGTACTAACAGTATCATGTGGATGTAGTTTGTTCAGATATGGAAATATAATAGTTGCCATTAGTTGTAGTAGGGTACTTGTTAAATACCCCTTGATAAATGATTATCTTTGGTACATTGTTAATGGTTTAGTACAGCAATATTTTTGCACGTGAAATATTTACCACTCAGCATGGACAGTGTGTCAGTTTTTGGTAGCATATTTATTAAAATTGAAAAATGAAAACTACAGGAACAAAAGGAGGAATAAACCTTCTGCGTATAAATTGCATATTAAGTATGTTTATAATAACATTGTTCTCTTTTAGAATATTAAGCGTACTTCAACTGCCAGTCTTAATGCCATGAATGAAAACCACAGAGACCCTGATTCTATCAACAGCCAGACAGTCCTGACAGGTAAAATGTCACCCATGAGACCATTAATAGCTTGTTTCATGTGAGAATAGCCTTGGCATGGTCAGTGCCCTCTGTAAGTTTTAACAATCTATTAACCAGCCATTGACCATGTCTCTGCTAAATGCAATCCTTTAAGCTATATATATAATTTTATATCAAGTTTATTGGTAGTTAATTTGGAAAAATTGTTGTATATCTGTGAGACAGTAATAGCCACACTTTCTGAGCTGTTGGATGTAAGCAATGCATTGACATTAAAGTTTTGCCCACTTTGTTTTGTAGAAATTTCCAAAGATGACCTCGTAGTTAAAGTCCTCAGTCTGCAGCAAGAAAATCAAGGTAATGCATAAGCAAAGCCTTATTCAAACATTAAAAAAAGGATCTAAGTAGTTTTGTCTAGCATATTTGATTTAGTGTGAGTGCCTTACAACTTAAATATTGAATAGAGAGAGAGTAGTCTTATCAGTGTGTTTGCCACAATGAAGAATTGAAAAAGTAAGCAGTGGACTTTTTGTTGGCCAAAGGTGAGAGGTAACACACTGGTTTGCACATACATCCCTCGCACAAGAGCATGTACTTTCCCGAGCATACTAGATTTAGAAATTGGGAGGTATTTAGCCCTCTCATTTAAAATGACAGGATGTTATAATTACCCTTATTATCAGCAGACATAAAATGTTATCCTCCAGTAACAGTACTTTTAGCTGGCCTGTTGAGATAATGATCTTTTATTTTAGAATTGTGTCCAAGGATGCCCCACAATATTACATAAATTGCAGAGATGATGAAAATCTTTTTTTTTCTTTTGATTTTTTAAAGATTTCTCAACTTTTTCCAGCTTTGAAAGAAGAGAACAGAAATATGAAGAATTACATTGACAGACTCGTGGCCAGAGTGATTATAGAGTGTCCGCAGGCCTTGCAGCTAGCTGGGAGTATGCAGTAGTTGTGGAATTCTTATATCATCAGACATTTCTTTTTTAAAGTGCCTTTGCAGAATTCCTTGATAGAATTACGTGCAAGGGTAACAGGTTGGAATTTTTACTGTTATGTAATATTATAACTGAAAATTTATGTCTTGTTGGACATTTATTAAGGGGAGCAATCTCAAACTGGAAGTTTTTAGCCTTAACAAGGTCTTGTTAATATTTTTAACTGTTCTACTTAGTGGTCATACCAAGTATATGCTAGTACTGTCTCATGATATTACCATGTAGGTGTTTTATTACATAAAAAGTCTCCATATATTACATGCATGACACCTTATATTACTATAAACACCCCCAGATACAGTGCAGGACACCTTATGTTACCATGCAGGGTACTCTATAGTTTTATTACAGTGCAAAAAATGTATTCTCTCCATCTCTTACACTAACGATATGGTGATATGCTGTCAATCCCTGTTCATTTTTTGTTTTGACTTGTTATTTCAAGTTTTATGGGGAGTTAGAAAGGATCTCCAACTATTTATTTGATATTATGTCAGTCACATTTGATTGTTATGAGCAAAGATCACCTTATTATGCGTGTCTGTTGTCTGAGATGATGTGGTACAAAAATTGATTCTGTGGAAGTGTGATGCTATTGTTAGCATGTAATAGTTATAAGATTGTTTTGTTTTTAAATCAAAAGTTTCAAGTGCATTATAGATGCCTTAAGCACTGGCGCATGTTCTATGCATTTAATATGTACACCAGGTTGTGACTTAAATGCTTTCTTTATAAAGCAGCCTCTGTTATGCATGGTGAAAGTTACAGTGATAACTATATTTTATACATGTGAGTATTTACAGTATTGTATCAATGGTAATATGGTGTTCCGTGGGTGTAAGTCTTGTAATCTGATGGTATATATTTATCCAAGACATTTGGATACATTTATATAAGCAGTATTGTTATATTTCACAATGCAAATACAAGAAAACATGTATTGGGAGTGCTAATAACCTACTGCCAGTATTTTGTGACTTTAATCAAAGTGTAATAACATGGTTCATAGCCTATTATGTGTGGTAAATGGACAATGATAGGAACCAAATGGCCTTATATTAGTGGTAGAATATAGATAAAGTGCCGTGTACAATGCACATGGAATGTGATACTTGATATATTATATGGGAGTATAGTTGTCAGATGGTTCAGACACTACTACTACTCTACAGTTGGCCTAAGTAGGCTCACTATTGAGCACAACCAAGTTGTTGTGATGAGCAGTTAAAATTGACTAGACTTTACACTAACAGGATGCAATTAACATAACTTACCTCATGTAGCTCATTATATTTAGAATGTAAAAATAAAGGTTTACATATTTTCATTATTCTTGATATTATCCTTGTTGATAAATATTTTATTTGATCAGCTTTAAAAACTGAAGTGACGGTATAATCTGCGAAAAACTAGAGCAAAGTTTTTTTTTTTAGGTCTTGTCATTTTTTTTTTAAATTTTATATTGCTACAGTGGTATTGGTATTTATATAGCCAATGCATTTTTTCTGTCTGAAAATTTGAATGTTATTGCCTTTATCGTGAAATGCGTGGTTTGTTCAAATATGAAAAATCGCGTGCAGACGATGGAGTGCTCCTTCACATCTTTGTTTTTCTGCCAGTATGTAGCAACTATCTAGCCGCTGTGATAGCAGACCGTTCTTATCGCGGCGAAAGGGGCCTATGTAATACGCAGACATGGGATGACCCGATTGCCTTTTTCAAATGCACATTTGTTCTTGAGCGCACATTTTATAGAAAAGCACATGACATTGAATAAACACCTGTTTGTTACGCCGCTAGCAGATGGTCGGACGCAGCATTGCCTATGACAAGGTAACAAAGAGCTGTCTCCTGTTATGAAGTTTATGTCACGATTGTCAAAAGGAGGGTTTGTTGAACTTTCAAAACATTGATGTGCATGTCCAGTTTTGGGGACTTCGGTAGCTGGAATCTGTTGAAAGCCCTATTTTAAAGAACCAGTTTATGAAACATTTCGGGGTGCCAGCTGCACCGGACGGAGCAAAAGGTCATTTCCGAAAGACTGCTTTATAATGTTACAATGGCTGCGGAAAGAACTTGTCGGTAAAAATCAACATTGCGTCTCGATACAATCTATTGCAGGTATTGATGAAATGTGATAGTATGGCGTCAAGATCGAATGGATAAAATCACAGACTTTTTTTAAACAATTTCCTTGTGGTTTACAACACCAAGAAACAAGTGGATTTTGAAAATTGATTTCCAAAATTCTCGAAGGCTTATCTGTCTCCTGGTATCTATTAAAATTATCTTGCTGGCGAAATGGAGGGTGACTGTACAATAGACTCGTTGTGCTACGGTATCAGAGTGGTCGCCATCATTATGGGGCTCATAGCCGCTTTGTTTTGCGGTCTTCTGCTATATATGACTTTTAAATACCAAAAACTGTTAAGAAAGTTTCACAAGGTGCACCCAATATCCCCCAAAACCTCGACCGAAGAAAAAGCAGCTAATGACGTGCGCCTGGAAGATATGACTGAAGACATTGTGACAGGAAAGTTGTAGTTGAATGTATGCATGCACTGATCGTTAATTGTTTTGTAGTATCTGTGCAATAATTACACGTCATGGGTGAGGTAAAAACCCAAATATTACATTGTTGAGACAAGGGTTACAATGTAATTAACTTTATTGCAATTCTGCCTCTTTAATCTTACAAGATATTTTGAGGCATGCTGATTTGACCTCTAAATGATTCAGGTATATTTTGACCGTGCAATTTGTAGAAGCTGGACTTCAAACTGTGACTTGTAGACTAGCCTTAACCAGGGTTATAGATTGTTTTTTTTTTACTATAGATATACACGGACATGTCTCTGGTTAATTCGTGATACTTTTCTCTAATGTTAGATAAAAATTGAACATAGTTAAGCTGCAGTCCTGGTAGAGGGTAGTTGTACACACACAGGTTATTTGAAGGAAATTTAATTTGGGGCAAAGTAAAGGAATTCTTAGGGCTGTTAAAATTTTGCATTGCTGCTGAGGAGTTTCTAGTCCTTTTTCTTTCGACTGTTATTATAATGTGATTTTTTTTTTATTATTGTCGTTTTTTTTTTTAAATCTTATATCAATGCTACAATTTCGCGATCCATTAATTGTATTTGCGTTTTGTAGATAGTAGTTCTGTGCATAATAATGTTGTGCTAACTTGAAATACAGAAATCTATTATTGGCATTTCATAAATATTTTCTACATATATCAGTGCGGTAGTCGTGAATTAAAGCAATTAGAAACAGCAAACGAAAGGTGCAAGGCACTGGGTGTTTAACATGGGGATGCAGTAGGTGTGCTTCATATCGATTGCTACATGCACCACTCTCTGGTTAATGTAAAGTTCACTCCTTTTTACCGCACTACACTGCAGGGGCGGATTTAGGCCGTCTTCTGGGTCTTCCGAAAGACGGTCAGATTTTCAAGTTTACATTGACGGGTATCTAATTTTTTCTGTCGGAAAACGGTCAAAAATGGAGGAAGGATCAACAAATATAATTTGGAAGACTCTCAGAAAATATCTCTGGATCTGCCCCTGCTACAGATGCTTCTCAGCGCGGTTTACAGACGCCTGCAGGTCATGTTTTGGCCCTGGTACAGTCTGTGTGTTGACGTTTTCACCTCCGTGGGCAGGATACAACCCAATATGCCGTATGAAGCGCTGAAAGTTAGCAAACTAAAATATCTTTCTCTACCAGACCAGAAACTTTACCCCTGCTACAATCCTTAAGTGCTGAGTGCTAAGTGGGATACAGTAGATACTGTGTCTAAAGGACTGGTATGTCCCCGGACGGGGTCGAATCCACGTCTTCCTGCTCTGGAGGCGGACACTCTGACCACAAGGCCATCTGGTCGGTCAATTTTGCCAATCTTCGAAAGACATTCAGTAATTTTCTGTTATTGTGCACAATTTCATTCACGATGTAATGATCATTACGATGTGTATGAAACACATCAATAGATGCCTTTAAATTGCTGGATGACAGATTTTGAATAGAGGGAGATTACAATTATTCAGCTTATTTTCATCTGTATTTAAAATTGATTTTGCCAGTTAGGTGTTTATTAGATTCTCATTTTGATGAACCGCTTGACATAAACAAAAAGTCAAACTCGCCAATTTAGTTTTTAAACTTATCCAGTGTTGACAAGTTTATAAATGATGCTAAGAATAAGTAAAGTGAATTCCTACCTGGGAGGGTTCTTTATAAATAAGGAATGGGAAACTTAAAAGTTTCCTTTCAGGTAAGAGTAAATATTTACCATCTATATCTTAGGTAAGGCGTGGTACCGGTAGCCGATAGTAAACATGCACTTAACGGCAATATAGCACCAGTCAAGTCATTAATTAGACGCAGAGCTCTATTTAACCTTCCGGGTAAAAATTCGCGTTTCTGTTGATTTCAAAAATTGCGATGCTTCATGATTGTTAGGTTATAGGTTATAAACTATAGACTGTAGTTCATCAAACTTCATAAAGACAAGTTCACCTTAATGGCTTGATTTTAAATCATCTTTAAGAAATTAACATCAAGCTTTCTTAGGAGCCTTAGACCGAGAGACTGCTTCAAATCGACCGTCGAAAGCACAAAATTATTGTTTTCTACAAATTGATACAAAACCGCTCTAGGGTACCGTCTCTACATATTTTGCGTATCAAATGATCTGGCATCGTGTAAATTAATTAACTGACATGTTGCCTAACAAGATACCGCTAAGATACAGTCAGTTATATTTATTTAACCATAGAGGCTCCAATCAAGACATCACAGAACTGCCTGCGGTTAACCTGGAGTTGCCAACGCATTTTAGACACTTACTCCTTTTTTTTTTCAATATCGAAAGTAGATTGAGAACCTGCTTACACTCGTTGCTCCTTCGTGTTAGTACGTTGATAGGTGTGCCTTTGAAGTGGGCAGCGAAAAAAACTTTAAGTTTTTCACTGAATGTAATTTTTGCTGTCTTGTGAACCCAAAATACTCGGACCCAAGCTGAGATTCAAATCCAGCGAAAAAACCTTTAGACTCAGCAAGAGAATAAAGATAACGAAACCACAATCTGGTCAAAGCCTTGAATACCCTATATCTACGCCCACCTCCTTTACTACCATGACCCAAACCCCAGGCTCTCCGTCCAGCATTGGTATTCTGTTTTTTACTTTACTGCGACAGGTGATATGTTTGACACTATGTAAACGTAAAGTATCGAGCGCGTACATGTTAGTACATGTAGGCCTACATGTTATAGTTGCACAAAACTTCAGTCGATACTTCAGTGGGTTTTGAAAGTTAATACTGAAATGTTAACATGTACTTTTCCATTAAACGAGTATTTCTTGATTAAAGACAATTTCGGTTTCATTGTGTGTTATTACACTTGTATCAACCTGTTTTTAAGGTTTGTTTATAGTAAATGATACCTTGCACCTTCCCTCTAAGGTGATGTTACTCGGAGGATAGCATATGAACAGTGATACGTACAACCGGTTCAGTTTCCGAACGTGGAAAATATGACACAAAGAATTAAACGTCCTACATTGTGTGTTATTACACTTGTATCAACCTGTTTTTAAGGTTTGTTTATAGTAAATGATACCTTGCACCTTCCCTCTAAGGTGATGTTACTCGAAGGATAGCATATGAACAGTGATACGTACAACCGGTTCAGTTTCCGAACGTGGAAAATATGACACAAAGAATTAAACGTCCTACACTGAACCTGCCCTGGGCTGAATTCTGTCTTCAGATTACCCTACTTGGGGTTTTTTTCCAGTCCAGAAGACCACTTCAGAAAGGTTTAAGGAAACGTACGGCACACGGTTGTGTATACAAACTATTTTCGACGTGTCTTTCATCAGTGTTATACTAAAGGTAACTTACGGATAATGGTCTGACATTATTTGGACTAGATGATGCAGCTGCACCTGCCACAAAAAGTTCATTTAAGTGCTTTTTTATTTAGCTAAAATGCTAGTAGTTTAGATTTGTGAATGGCTTTATGTCATAAAAAAGGGGGAATAAATTGGAAATCAGTTACTAAGCGAACTTAGTGATTTTTTAAATGCTTCTCAACAGTTTTCAATGACACTGTGAAATGTTTAGGTGATGCTATTGATTTCTATTACAATTTCGAGATAAGTACTGGAACAAGAGGTTAAGGACCCACATATTAAACGAGTACATTTTCTTCTCGACAAAAAATTATGAATGTTAGATCATTATAGTCGTTTCAAACCCCGTCCAAAAACAAATACAAAAAGCGTAATGGTCTTCAGATGCAGGAAAAGTTCTTGTTGTGTTATTCAAAATTGAGATATGTTTCTCATTTGATGGCACAGGCGAAAACATATTTTCCTCTGGTGCTAGCAAAGTGAATAAGAATTAAAATATTTTTTCTAACAATATTATGGAGCATCTGGCTAGTACACCTGGTCCATACAATGTGACCAGTACTACTACCTAATGTGGTCAGTAAGATCCAAAACATGACAGGGAAGTTCATAATGTTTGTTTCATAGAAGATTGCAATGGAATTCGACTACATTTGGTTGCCGTGGGCATATGTTACAAGTGCATGCTGCTTGTTAAGGTAATTCGTTACTACTTGTCTGACGGTTCTAGGAGTTAAACCTATTTTGAGTTTGTATAATTAACCATTAAAACCGTTGTCAATTCAACAAAAATGTTAAGCAAGGAAGTTTCCGGAAAGTGGTTCGGTCAGATTTGTTGTGTAAGATGCCATGTGTATGTCGCATGAATCCTATGTCAAACCTCAAACGAACTGAGAGCTAACGTCTATGAAAACAATTTATCAACTACTGTATCTTAAAAATGCAATTTTAAAACAAGCATAGTTTCAATTTGAAACGTTTACATATTTGTTGGCCAGCAGATAGACCAACTGGAAGGCGCACTCGCTAATGGCAAAAGAAAATTAAACATCTATTTACAAATTGTATCGCTAATCAACTTTTTTGAATGCAAAAAATAATAATTGAAATCAACATGGAACAAAGCAGGTAGTTTTAGCTGCTTTACTTCCGATGTTTTCTGCAAACAAGGGCGCAGTGGAATGTGCCGGACATATCACATATGGTTGAAGTGTGCCTGGAGTGAGATCCTAATTAGCTATTCATGTTTGTAGGGCCAATAAATTAACACCTTACAGAAGTACACGTTCAACAACTGACCACTACCGGACAGTGCACCTTCCAGGTGTTATGAACTCAGATCATAACAACGTCAGTCCAGGATGTTTGTTACATACATGTGTTAAAGGGAATGGGCTTGTAGAGGGGTAGGAACGTGCCTCGCAAACGCTTTATATTATCAGTTCACATTTCTGAGGGCAAGGTGAATCATTAATTAATACCTTACATAGTTTGATCTGAAAACAAAGGAATGAATAGAATGTATGGTTCGAATATCTCGCTGGTAGAAAACTAAGGTCATTGCTTCTTTTTGTTCTTTTTTAGTTTTACAAGTGATCATCTTTTTTGTTTCATTTTCTGTCACGGTTCTATATCCGTCTCTTTTCTTTTCTTTGATTTCTTTTGTTTCTTCTTCTCAATCTTTTTTCTTTCTGAATTAAACCAAAATTTCCTTGCAGCTTTAGGTGTGATAAAAATCAGGATAGGGATACATCTCTCTCTCTCTCTCTCTCTCTCTCTCTTTCATTTGTACGTATACATTCTGCCTTTAAGGCAGGTCGTGATCTTACTAGTTTTGCGCTAATCTGGCAACATGGTACTTTGTATTGCTTCCTTTCGTACCAGTTGAACAGAATATAGCTGGTTCGTTTTCTCAATTACTTTGTTAATTTCGCCTAAAATCGGCAGCGGTTAGTCTTTCATGGTCAATGCGAAACACTTCTCTCTTTGCCAGCCACGTTTATTTTTAAACAGAAGTGGGCTATTTCTAGGAATGGTAAAATAAAACACACTCAAACAGGTAATTCTGCTTGACTTCCAACCCTCTTGCTCCGTAGCTAACCTTAACGCGTTGCACTTGATCCTCAACCAACGAATTTACGATTTATATATATGCAATATTGGCAAAATGCATCACAGGGAATAGGCGATTCTTATGAAAGGTCGCAGTAATATCAACAATAAAATTTTGTGCACGTAAAAGTCAAGTGGTGATTGCTGAGAATTGTGATTAAAAGAGCAATATTGCTGGGGTCATAGACCGATAGAACTTTTTCGAAGACAATTACAGAGGAACGTACGCAAACTTAGGGTTAACTTATTCGTTAAAACTGTCAATGGAAATTGTTATCATTTGCCGCAGTAATGATCGTATAACGCCCGTTATTCCGAGAAACTAGCAATTCAGTTGATGTATAGGGCGCAGGTGTGGAACGTTAGTACCAAACGTACTACCCCACGATTGAAGCGACTTCTGAGAAAATAACAAGTCAGTAAATAAAGGGGATAACCTATTCCCCCCAAAAACATTTTTTGTTGTTTATCTGTTTCTTCATTGATCAAAGCTGAAGCCTCCCCACCTTGTTTCTTGTTGTTTATGAATGATCTGGTTTGTACTTGCCGTCCGCCTCTCAATCACTTACCGGGGCACGACGGACAAGATAGTTTGTAGTGATATTTGCCATTCGAGGAGAAGCAAATTTCACCGCAGAAAAGTTCACTACATGAAATTACTGAACGGGGACAAATTTGTTTGTTTGCTATATTTGATATTTACACCTCATATGAGCTTGTGAGAAATGAAAATGTCGGTTTTTTTATCAGTTGCACAGTTTGCCGCCTTTACTCTTTTATTTAAGGGGCATGTCGGATATGTACTGTTTACGTATGTTCTGTTTGTTTGACATTTGAGAAAAAAAACAATTTGCTCCCAGAAACAAATTCACGTCAAACTTAGAGACGCTTTTAGTACCGTTTACCCGGTAATCGCTGCCCCCCACCCCCCACCTCCACCCCCTACTCGTCTGTTTACAAATTTACTGTACTGGTACACTGCTAGAGACAGGAGGACAGGACGAGCCAACAAGAAAAAAAACACAAAAAAGAAACATGGCAGGTACTCATGACAATTACTTTAACTTCATTCCTAATGTTTTAATATCTAAGAGAATTTCGTGGAGCAACATTTCTATTCACTGGTCTTTTCTATATAGTGAACTCAAGAGAACTTGAATGTTTTGATTTTCTACACCGATTGAGCTTAGGTGAAAGGAATTTCCCACTCGATACTTAGCATTTGACTTCACCACAGGACTAAAAAAACAACAGAACACAGGCCCTGGCGAAGCTTTTCAACCTTTATTGCTATCAATATAATAACAACTCGGGTGGCATAATATTTTTATTAAACGAATTTAACAGTCATATTCAAAAATTCATATATAATGTAGAGTAATAAGCGTCTTTTCCCACCTTGAATTTAAAAGAAAACGTACATTCTGAACAAAAGAAATGAGTTATATTCTTGTGGAATACAAATATCATATATTCATCTCTAAATCAGAGTGGTTTTGACTCCCCTCACCTGTAGACATTAAGGCAGCAACATGATTGGTCGACTGCTATACCTCGTGACCTACGGAGCCGTCTTTCACCGAGTGGGTATTTTATCATACGGTGAGCAAACAGCGTTGATAATGTATGCGCGCTCTCCTGCTGCGATCCGTAGAAGTCTGACAGATTAAAAGATTGCTGAGCAGGGAAGTGGATTCAGAACAATATTTGAAGTCGTGCTGTAAGGAGGCTCAGTCGAGTTAAGTAACAGTGTTGCTACACTTTCACTTATTAAGGAGGATTAAACTTGCGGGTCCAAACCTTCTGTTGTGAAGTGCGTTGTCGAAGGACAGAGGCAATAGTAGCGCCTAAACATAAACACTGAAGCAGCGTCCATACAGGACTGTTGTTTATACTACAGAAATGAAAAGTGAAAAACTACCGATGACTACAGAAATGACAGGAGGACAGACCACAGTAAGGGTGGCAGTGTTGGGAAGTCCGAGAGCGGGAAAGTCAGGTGAGCAATAAATAGATCCCTCACACTACGCTGTAGTGAACAACAAAGTTTTCTTCTTTGTAGTGACTGACAGTAATGACGGGGACATTTCAGTCGCACAGCTCGAATATTTACCTTAAGTTAACCAATGTTTTTTATACAGTTTGGTGTAGTTGTTTATACTCCCTGTTACTGTATCATTGCTCGCAACAGTGTGTTGTTTTTTACATTAAACCATGCAAGTTTCAACACGCAGTGCACGGCATATGCAGGGGGTTCCTCCTATGTTATGCATTTCATTTCACAACTTCAACAAACGGCCACTTAACCTTTTGTACTTGCAAGTGACGCAAGCTTACGTCTTCCTATTAGATGGATAATTGCACAGTATTTAACGTAATCATTGTGTAGGTCCTCATTGTTGCTTTTGTGTCCCGGTGGTCACTGAAATAGCCACTTGACCAGACTACAATCTACCAAAGACCAAAGATCCAAACACTGAGAAAACACGAGGGGAAACAAAACACGGGATTAGGTGTGAAAAGGACCTCCTTTCACCTGTATGAGTCACGCGCTTTCGCTGGATATCCATTACTTCTAAGCGATTCAGAAGCATCAATTAAGGCATCAATTACCCCCTTATCGTCTGTTCCCTAATTAGCATCTTCTTATTATTGCGGCCAGAGAAGGTGTGAACAGGAAAAGTGTTCGACCTCTTTTTGTTTCTGTCTACTTCTTGCACGCAGCTCGTGATTCATAGATTGAATGCCTAGAGTAAAAACGGGTAAAGGCTTAAACTTCGACATTTGATATTTAGATTGAACTTGTTTTTATTGTGTCAGCGAATCTGTGTATTGGGCTCTTTGGGAGTTCCTTCATAAATGTGAATTGCGTAGGAAAACTAGACATTGTCCTGGGTTTTAGTGTTTGCTCGTTTTTACCGCTTCTTCAGATGTAAAAAGTTTATTATATGCATAATGAAATGTATTAAAATTTGAAAAGGATCAAGAACCTTCTGCACCTGTGCATATAATCTAACGCAGTTTGTTTACAAACATTCTCATGTACGTTAGATGAATTTTAAGGTTTCGACGTTGATGGGGCAACCGAAGAGATATGAAATCATGGCTAATGCTAGAACACAAAGCCCCCGGCACGTTTCAAGTGTTGGTGACAATGTAATCAAGGTGTAAGATTAAATAGATGACGCTCATATTACCGCTCCCCCTGGGTCCCTGATGTATTCGTTAACTTATTAACAAGCTAGTTTAGTTATATGCTTACACGGTTATTTGTTTATATCCTTGAGAGGTGTAATAATTTGTACAAAAATTATATAACTATACAGATTAGGGCGGCTTTAATATTTGTCCATCAAAGAAAGATAACTTGACGAATTGCTTAATCATGAACTATCCTTAGGTGGATTATAGCAGTAAACAATGAATCAAGTTTTGATATCAGAATACATTTTATCTGTATCGTAAAGTAACAGTCGTGATAACTAATGATGCCCTTTTTTTAATAAAAAGATGTGTATATAAGAAATATAACTGGTGGCACACCGCAGTCCAGTGCCTTCATTTATAGACTATTATGGGCACCTAGACAGAGACATATTTAACTGACCCGTATTGACCGCACCATAAATTACATTCCTAGACCAAATAAGAAACAAAACGCTTTAAGTTGACATTTATTAACCCTCAAGTTGAAAAGTGGAACGCGTATCAAAAACAAGTTATACAACTTTGTTTTTGCCTTTGGTCCAAAGGGTCCTTTTATCCGCACTGTCCGTAATGGTCAAACCAAATTGGCCAGACAGGATATTTTTAGAACATTTACCAGTCGAAATGAGATCCATCTTTCGCGATAAGACCTCGGAATGTATTTCTGAGCGGTGTAATTGATTTCAAAGCACAGCAGAGGAAATGAAAAAATAGAAACGGCATGTGAAGGTCCAACTGCCTCCCCAGTCTCTGCTGACCACATGCCTTCCACCTGCACGCAGGTAGAAAGACCAGGCGGAACACCTGTTTGATATGCAGGGAAATGACATACAGGGTTATTAATAGAGGAGCATCGTCTTCCCCCAGATGACATTCGATAATCAAGTAACAGATGAGTCATATGGCTTGAGGAAATAAATTATGTGAAATTAAAATGTGCGACCCCCTTCCCCCTGTTTACCATGCCACCCCTGGCATCTGTAAAACACGAAGCTTCATTCTTAGGATGCTAAAATAAAAACAGGTCATTGTTAGCGTGATCATCTTTAGCTTAATTTTCGGGTCACCGAGTAGACATAAGAGCGACGACTTTTTTTGTTGTTGTTGGAACAACAAACACTGCGTTTGTTTTCAACAACGTAGATATTTGGAAATGCTGAAATCGGCGCCAGTGAATGCCCTGTCATATTTGCCATTCCAACGCCGTGCATGCTTCCAAGGCGGACAAGCCGTCATGGCTGGTCGTCTGCACTGTAATCAAATATGATCACAAGAAACATAGATAAATCTTATCATTAAATAGTGTGGTTAACCAGTAATTTAGGTAATCAGAGAACATTTATTGTCATGAGAGGAAATGTCTGCAATTTGTCTTTTGGTATCAAAATTACCAGTTACTGGGTTTATTGTGTCTATCTTTGTAGTGTTACGGACCTTATTACATTAGTATGAATGAAGTCTACCACAAATTAGCCCTCTTAACTTTACATTATTGACGAAATAGCAGCTTTTGCTTCGGATGAAATAACTTATCTCTAAAAACCAGCCTTGTTGCTTGTGGAATATCTTGACAAAAAAAATCTCCCAAGTAACAGCTGTACTTGAACTAACAAGGTTCATCAGCTGTTGGAGCGTCCAAGGAAAAAAGTAAGTCAAAAAGAAAAGGGCATTTTTGGCAGGACGACCGCTGTGAGCACTAGAAGACTGACTGACAGCTTTGACAACATTCATAACATTTAACCTGCATCTTAACTGCAAGTGTTTTTTCCATTCCTCAGTGCGTTTTTATAGTAAACGAGCTTGGAGACGGGTTAAAAACCGCAACACCTGTCTGGACTGGACTTTATTACGGCAATTATAGTTTATACAATATTGTACGTCACCGTGTTCAAAAGTCAGATTTTGATTTCCCATTTTTCTTTTACAACAGTTGTATAATATTGTTGATCGCACAAATCGCATTTTCGAACTGCATTCAAGGAGAGGCTAAACAGCATTTATTGCTAAAGACGAACAAACAAAAAGTCTTTGAACCGCATTAACAAATCGTGAGCATGGGTCCTGATCGCTGATCATTGTGCAATTTCAATGCCTTCTAGATGTCTTTGTTCTGCAAAATCATAACTACAGAGATCTCCACGTACATAGAGAAAAAGGATTATTAACTTCAAGGCCCCTGTGGCCATGGGCGTCATGAAAAAGACTTTGAACTGCTTCGTTAGATCCCTGGTTGCACGAACAGGGATCGTTTAGCTGACGCCAGCACTAAACACCAGCTACATCTTTATACTAGTCACACATTTTCGCCGTTTTCCTGTCGTCTATTTTGGTGTTTTTCTAGGTTAACAAGATGATGAAGTGGATACCCCCAAAATGTAGCTGAAAATAATTACAACCAATTATCATTCGAGGCATTTTAAAGTAAACACAATGGGTGCTGCTGATGAATCTTTATGCACAGTGAGCTATTTGGATTGTTTTTCTATACATGTATTTAGGGATACTCCCATTCACAAAAGATGTAGATAGGCCTATGTACCGAAATGAACCAGAAGGGGACTGTAGGGTCTCGAACAACATAACACTGAATGTTTAATTCTTGACCTAAAGCACAGCAAATTAAAAGAGTTTTAGTCGACGGTAACAAACTTAGGATTGAGAAACGTCTTGTCATTAAAATTTTGCATTGAGCAGACGACAGTTAGTGTTGTTGTCAGACGTCAATCACGGCACGTGGCGTGCACGTACATAGTAAACAAACGGAAACGTCGTATTCGTTTTATCAAAGTCACAGAATCTGGTACAAAGTAATTAATTTCAAACGTGAAAAACAACAAAGACAATGAATTCATTGACATCTTCCATCGTGGGGGACTTCGACGCCGTAATTGTAAAATATTTCCGGAAAGAGCTGTCAGGGGTAAAAAGCATTAATAAGCAATTAATCGTCTACCCTTCCCATCTGTCCTTGGTATCGTGACAGGTTATCTGTGCCATTTCAATCCACCTACCCCCTCCCTTTATGTCGGCCACACCATCACCGATAATTTGTCAATTTTCCTCATTCAGTGAAAATATGTTATCGTGCAAGCGCGGGTTCGAGTGTTTTGACTGATGTACCATTGAAGGCTCCCTGTAGTGATACAGATAGCTTTCATAACTTATCATTGTAAATATTTGTGTTTTGCGATATTTAAGACTCTGACAGATCAACCATTAAATGTTTTTTTTCTTTTTCATTGTAGCTGTCACCGTGCGTTTTTTGACAAAGAGGTTTATAGGAGAATACAACTCAAGCGAAGGTAAGACTATAGATTACAAAACTCTCCAGCTGCGATGCTTATCGTTGTATTGATATGTCTTAAGACTTTAATAACATTAATCCCAAAGTCTAATAAAGCTGGTGTCACGTCTGTTGCTTTGAGTGGTTTGCAGACCCAATACAGGCCTTCCGTGCCATGCAGCACAGGGATTCATGTGCCGTGAAAAAACACTTGTGTGGAAAATCTCCTGTTCTCGAGGGCCTTGTATGAGAGTTGAAATTAACCCTGGAGTGTTTTGATAAGAATGTTGGAACCGGTGGACAGACGCATGGAGATATTTGACCGTTGGGCCCTCCCCGTTTACCCTGACCAAGAAGTTATAACTTCTTGCCCTGACCGACCGTGATATTGTGAGATACCAAGGGCCTGCAAGTGGTCTTCTGCGTGGGCACGGGTCAATTATTACCCCTTGCAGAGGATGGCTTGTGGACCTTATAACTATCTGAGATAACCTAATAAAATTTGTGTATATAGTTGGATCACAGGATTATAAGTTGATGATGTGAACTAACTGATATAATTCCCTGGTAAAGTTAACCGGCAGATTGCCAAGGGCACAAGGGGTCGGCCCTTTGGTGCACCTTCCCAATCAACAAAACAAAAAGTACGAAATAGCATCTTTGTTAATTGCGCAACGTGAATAACTGCAACACCCGAAGGCTGATTGTGCTGATAGGAGCGTAGTTATATAGCAATGGTGGTATTTAACTTTGAGTATTTGTAGTATTTACAGTTACGTGAAAAAGCATCGCCGCGCATTGAACAGTTACAACACCCCTTGCAGCCAAATGTAAAACAATGCCGTCTGCCCTTTTCGTATCTTCGTTAAAAGACGTCACACAACTTACAACAAAAACCTCCAACCATCCACACAGCAGGGTCTTTAGAAACGTTTTATTGTAGTCAAGTTAGAAGTGCGTAACACAACAAATCAGAAGTCAGTAAGCGTTTGTAGACTATCCAGGGACTGGCGACACGGCCAGATAGCTGCGCGTCTGGGTTATAAAAAGTGCCAAAGCTTCATTTAACATTTTGTATGTTTTATTTTGTTTGTGGTGAAACACACAGTGATATGTCCTCAAGATGTAGATGGATATTATGCGTGTGAATGGAGTGTCTTGTTACTCTTTGTGTTCGATTGAATTAAACGACGTGTAAATTTATGGACGGAGTGAGGCAGGGGGTGATAAATACTTGTCTGTTTGCAGAAAAATTTGATATTGTTTCCATTAAAATTCTTTAATATGATATCATTTGATCCGAACATAAAAAGAATTGAAGAAGACGACCTCGTCGTAACTAAAACAGGCGATCACCGTCACTTGCAATAAAAGTGGGGTCCTTTCACCTGACAACGAGACAACCTTGAAAAAAAGGGCCTCTTTTTAGAAGCATAACAACAACTCTTCTTCAATTATCGTTCGCTTAAAGTTATTGTGTAAAAGATACGTCCTAGATTATGCGCGTTAATGTTAGACTCATAAAAGCTTAAAGCTCCATTTCCACTTTTATTAAAAGCCTCTCTCCACCGTTAAGGCCCTTTGATCGTGTGTTTTTGTCCGAAAGAAACCTTGTCTGACCCGGCCCCCTGCAACTGCCTGGTAATGGATCCGAGTTATGTAGAAACCGCACGAATAACAAGTTACGAGAGTTTTTTTTTCTTTTTCGTTACAAAGAAGTGGACTATCATTACATAATTCGTCTTGACACAAGACCTCATTTAAACCCAATACCAAATTACTTAAATGGGTAAATATTATTTGATGGAGAGAGCGAATATTGTGTCATGATTTGCCGAGATGTTTTTTCTTGTTTTGTAATAAATCGTATACCTAATTTTATGACTAATGTTGGTTTCCTACACTACATTAATCAAAAACCAATTTTAAAGAGGAAATATAACCTTAAAGTACAAGTATCGGACCTTTTAAACACTTTGAACTAATGATCAGTGCAGTTAAGGGCCATTTTAAATTTAATAGGTTATTTTTTATATACTGATTATCCAATATTCTTTAAGAATGAAACACTGGTACAGGCCAATGTAACGCGTCCTTGGTGCGGGTTCTCTTAAATGTTTAAGTGTAATGTAAGTTAAATATTCTGGCATACCCAGTTAAAGGCGTCTGTGCACAATAAGGGTAAGAGCAAATGGGAACAACGTGCCTTTATATGTAATAGATATTTCTTGCATTTTTTTATTGGAAACCAGTTTTAACCTTTTTTTCTCGCTCTGTTTTTCCATTACGGGTGAGATGATAGTGCATAAGTATTAGGGCCCGGACATCAGTATAACATCTTTTTATGTAATCTTCCATCGTGAGAGCTGAACAAACAAACACCGCCGCTTCCAGGCCGCAATTTATTAATGTTATTTGAATAGAGGAAATTAATCAAAATCTTCACATATTTTTATCAGTCTTTCGTGCTACAACACTTGTGTCAGAGCGATTGTTAATGTTTGTCTTACTGAAAATAGGTTGTGCGCAGTTTTTAGGAAAAAAAAATAAATAAAATAAAATAAATAAATAAATAAATAAATAAATAAAGAGAGAGATTAATAAGTCTGAGTCTCCATTCAATACAAGCCCCATTATTGTACGATTGTTGAGCTTTGATAAAAACGAAAAGCTGTCAATTTATCTTAATTATTGTTAAGTTTGTTCATCTTGATTGTTTAAAATTGCCAAAATGCCTGTACTGTAGTGTTTCTCATTGTTATATTCCAGATATGGTCTACAGACACAATACGAAGATTGACGAAAATCAGGTCGATATCGAGGTGATGGACTGCTCGTGTCCCGAGGTGAGTACCGCACGAGGCCAAACGATGGTTATTTACTGTTACTTCCCAATGCCGTAATTAGATAAGCGCTCCCTCACTGCTATCCCTTCCTGGTACTAATTGATTTCATTCGTCTTGGCACGTGACGGACTGTTTTTTAATGGCCCACCACCACCACCTCCACACAAAACTGATTTCCTTTAACAATATACACATCCTAGCATTTGAGAACTTCCTCGTATCTGCATTGAGGAATTGGCAACTTTTTGAATTCAATTATTTTATTTGGAAGTTGAGGAAGAAAGACACAATGGGTATTGCACATGCCTTTGGTACTGAAAAACGTGATGATGAATGTGAATCTGGACAGTTGGAGAGCCGGGGGTCGTCCTCTGCGCGGTAGTCACATACTTTCTACATGCTAATGGCGGTCACCTGGTAGACAGGTGTAATATAGCGTCTTTCTCATTCGCCTTTCTATTGTCTCTTTGTTTGGAATGAATGATGGGGCAGTTCACTTTATCAAACTGAATGCCTACCTGGTATTTTGATACCCCCTGCCAGCAAGATATTTTATTACCTTGTCCCATGTTTAAATTTTAAGTGTTTGTTGATTTAGCTTCCCAGGTTTAAAAAAATAGCAGGTAGAGTAATTTTGTTTAAATTATGTTTTGTATTGCCTTGGAGTATAATTTAAAACTTGGGTGTAAGCATTCATTTTTGACTGGGTTTAAAAGCATTGGGGGAATTTTAACATCATAACAAGGGTTAGCCGTAAGGTGAATAGCATCATCTGCTCTGCATGTTATGGTGCAGCATTGCAGAAAAGAAATTCAAGAATTGCAAAACGGGAAAATAGTTACAGGCCATTTAAAGACATGGGTTCACTCTTCCTGGGTCTTCGGTTGTCCCTAAGCAAAGGTGGTTTTATGATCATCTGCTCGAGTAGTTTGTTGTCCTTCAGATTATCGTCTGGTACGGCAATGTGTCACCAGTGAAAAGATCGCCCCTAAGAGTAGCGTGTCGCCATTCTGGCGTTCGTCTGCTAAAGCAGTTAGGTACCAGCTGTATGGAGTGATTAAACTTTGTGGGAGAGCGCTTGTTATTCTGTCATATCTCATAGTTTGCAAACATGACTGATAATCTAACGCTTTAAACTTTATGAGATACGTTTCAGAACACGAAACATGTGAACACACTATGTAAATGTAATGTAGAGCATGTCAAAATGTCATTTAGAAAATGAAAATAAACAACAACTTTTTTCCTTTGCAGAACCAGAGTCTGCCAATTCCAGAAACATTAGCAGTGTGGGCGGATGCGTTTGTCGTGGTGTACAGCATATGCGACAGAAGTAGCTTCCAAGAAGCGAAAAGACTTATTTGCACAGTACAAAAACTGAAATCGCCCTCCTACGTTCCCGTCATGTTGATTGCAAACAAAACAGACTTAGACCACAGACGGGAGGTGGAGGTGGAAGAAGGACAGGAACTCTCTTTGGAATACGGCTGCCGTTTCCACGAAGTGTCGGCAGCGGACTGTTACATAAGCGTGCACATTGCATTCACAGGACTGATGAAAGAAATCGTAACAATGGTGCAAAACCAAAAACTCAACTCTCTGAAAAGGAGGAAAAGTTCACTGTACAGTGTTTCGAAAGCAATCCAGTCAATGTTTGGGAAGAACCTCGTGAAACGGAAACCGTCGATATAAGTCTGTTCCTCACAACCGGTTCATTTCCATTCAACGTTGCTCAATGTATGTGATACACTGTTGTCCAAGGGACACCAGTCTCTGTAAAGAGGGCACTCTCGCGTTGCTACAAACTCAGAGCCGCTGAAATAGTTAAACCTTCTAAGAGACGGGGTGCCAAGAGTGATTACTGAACACAAAGAGTTCCCTACGCAAGTCGAGCAGTGCTTCAGAACTAGAGACTAATCTTGGCAGAAAACATGTGTTGTAAGACGTTAGAAAAAAATCAGCTGATTCGCTCACTTTTCAATCATATGTTTATGTTGTAAGTAGCCCCCGCTTGCAGTGAGTAAGCGCTTGGTGATGTATTTGCCATCTGAATCACTCTGTGAACCTGGTTAATTATCCAAAATTGCACCTACTTATGGAAGAATGATTAGGGCTGAGCTTATTTATCATTTTCTTCTGATCTCAAAGCTGTCATAGTTAAGTACATCTGCAGAGCGGTGTGTATACCTCTGACGTTGAGAGATAAACCAATTTTGCTATCTCTATGTGCGTGTCATTGTGACCACTAGGTGGCACCACTGTACAGTGCACGAGCACTTTATCTCTGAGTACATGTCACAGTTGCTGGTTACGAAATTTTATCTTGTCACTTAATATTTCATGAACATGGCAGGCGAAAATGACAGGTGGCTATTCTCGACAGGTGAACCTTGTTCACGGTACTTTATGACTGGTGTCCAATATAGGTAACTTTAAACTTTGGTGAAACAAATTATTTATATTTTTGCTGTAAAGTTGAATTATGTAAAATTATAACGTGACACATATATCATTCGTCTCAATTATCGTAATCCACATCATAACCATTGTCACCTAAATGAACGTCATATCACAGATGGACGATATCAAGGTGCTTGTGTAAGATATGTTGACACATGCAAATGACACATTTGCATAATAAGGTTCCTCATTTTCATCTACCTCACAGTTATCACAGACCACTCCATTTGTCACTCATCTTAATATGTTCATAAAGGCTAAGAAATGTTCATATTAAACCAATAAATGAATGTGAAAATTGTATCACTGCATTTGTGTTTCTTGGTACTGGAATACAAGATTTGTCTCTTCTCCCCCTCCCCCCTCTCTTTCTCTCTCTCTCTCTCTCTCTCTCATACATTTTATTAATCGTATGACGATATTTTTATGGCAAATAATTTCATAAAATTTTAGGCGCTGGTAGTTAGAATTTATCCAAGAACGATGCCAAGAAATACTTATCATTCTATCTATGGCATGTTAGCAGGTAACTTGAACTTAATCTTGTTTTGAACCATGGCATTTCACCGGTATTTAAAATCCGAACTCCTCTTAATTTCGTTTTCTGAGAAATTCCTCTCTGAAGAATTTGTTTTTATTCTAAGAATAATTTGTACTGCCTTGTGAGCGGTTTCTTGTGTTTTATCCAAATTCGATTTGCTTCCTTTTCCTTAGTTTGTCATATTTTCAGCTAATCACGCGCCATGGATTTGTATACAAAGTTTTTGAAGATGAAAATTCCGAATATTACAAGCATACTTAACTAAACAGTAGTCATCTGGAAAAGATCGGGCGTAGAATCGGACGGATGTTTGTGAAAAAACACGTAAAGTACAAATTAGAGTAAGTGTAATAACCGTGTGTACATCGTCCAAAACTACATTTGTAACAGAAATGTGTGTGTGTGCATGCGTGTGTGTGGGTGTTTGTATGAGTGTGTGCATGAAAGAGAGAGAGATTATGACTTTATATATGGAACTTGTACATGTGTGTGTGTTTGTGATTCACTGGCGGTTAAATATCAGTGAATTTGACATTTGACATTTCTTGATTTATAGCTTAGAAAGAAATTAAAAAGAAGAAAATAAGAAGATTGCACGGACGTTGAATAACATGTTTATCAGCAAGGCGAAAGGATATCAATATCACAGCAGGCTAAGGCTGCAAAAATAACCTCAACAACGGTGAAATGTGCTTGTTTGTTTTTATTCAGTTTGACCTACAGTGCAACATGGTCCCGTTATTAGCTCGAGTTCAACGTTCCCGTCTGAATACCTATTTTGATTCGCAATAACTAGTTTATTAAAATCTTATATGACGACGATTCCAGCCATAAATTATAGTTTTTGTCTAGATAGGGAAGAAGAGGGCACCACATTTGGATCATACCTTAAATATTTGGCACAGCAATAAAGTTTATTTTATGGAGAAAAGAACTATGTTTTTCTTTTACGTAATGTAACACCGGTATTGCCACTCTTCTCTCCTGTGCGTTCTGACTTTTAAGGAACAGATGGAATCTTCAGAACACTGTGCGTCCTTAGAAAACTTGTACTATAAAAACAAATAACTGATTCTGTGATAAAAAAGAGAATGCAGATTCTAGTGTAGCAATTTAATGTCATTTTCACCCATTTTAAAGGCACATGCAACTTGGAGTACTATCGAAAAGAAAAAACAGAAGAGGAAATATGGATCAACTAACCCTGAGAGATTGATGGATATCCTTCAATATGAAAAGACGGACTAGTGAGCACCAGTCTCTAGGTGTTTTTATTATTATGATTCAGAAAAATTAATCACAAATACATAAATCTTTGGAATGTTCAGCTCCAACAACCACCAACTTCGTAACTAGGAACACCTGTATTTGCGTTATAATCTACAAAAATAAAAAGCATAAATTGTTTACATGGGTGTTACGGGCTGCTCAAGGCGTCCCCGTCGTCAACACCGGAGGGATAACATTCAGAACAAAGAAAGGCGTTATTTTTTCCCAACTCAAAACAAGAACAGAGAATCTTTACGAAAACAGCAGCGCGTTGCAATAACTTAGTTGAAATGTTTTTGGCACATGCCATAGCCTTGTGCGCGTGTTTTTAGCTTTTAATGTATAGTGTGTACAGAGTCAAATATTCAAGACAAGACCTTGTCAGGAGCACACAATGATGACAAAGTTGCATTGACCACCAATCAAATCCGTCAGTGTAATTCAAAATGTATTTTGATTTATAAAAATATACTCAATCCCACTATGATTCAAGATCAAATAACCCTTTATATTGAAATATTGCTTGTACCCTTTTAAACATAATAGGAAGGTTGTTGCTGCGACATGATTAAAACCCCCGCCAAACCCATATTTAATGGGAGGAATCGGAAAGAACCAGCGGGAATGAAGACATTTCAAAATTCATACAACATTTCAGGGGAGGGGGGATTAGAAAATGAATTTAATTCTTATACCCTAGTCACATTAGAGGCAGACTGAGCTAGAATGTAGTCGGAATGAAAATTCTTTGTATATTCCTCGATATTTGAATTGCGTTATAAAAATTCTGAGTGCATTCCAAATATATGGGCCCATTCTTTTGTCCAGTCGGGATGTTTTGCTGATACTCAAAACTTTCGCAGTGCATTCCAAGTGGAGAAATATCGAATGACATTTTAAGTGCATTCTAACTGCACTATGAGTGCATGCTTAATATTCTTACGGCATTCTAACAGCATTCGAAACATTCTGATCGCATTCGAGGGAGAACCGAAATGTCAAGACACTTCGAATTCATATCTTGCCAGAATGTTCCGCATCTGCCTCAAATGAGCCAGAATACAACTCGAATGCATCTCGATTGCTGGCGAAATACTATTTCGGCCACCAATCGAACTACACTCGTAGTTCGAATTCGAAGTGTATTCTAAATATTCCGACTGACAGCATTATCGATATTCCTAGTGTTCCAGCAACATATATACGAGCTGCATTAGAGAGATAATACACACAATATGTGCACGAATCGATTCGAAGCGCATTCTGAGTATTTAAACGGTATTCTTGCAAGAATTTAGGTCAATTTGATATTTCTTCCCGAATGTGGTGGGAATTTCGAAAATTCTTCATTCCGGCTCATTCTGCTGATTCCGAATAAGTGTGACGTGGGCTTTACAGATTTCTAAAAATGCCGTTGAAGTATTAGGAATGCGCTTCGAGCTCGCCTGATTTATTCTTGCGCATTTCAGGTTAATATGAGCTTTCAAATGCAGCTCGTATGTAGTTGGAAAGAGCGGGCATAATGTGAATGCAGTTAGAATGCAGACAGAATATTGAGAAAACACTTCGAATGCCTTTCGAGTGTGGTTTGATTGCTGGCAAAGTACGTCAGAAGTCTGGCCTGAAAATGTTTCGAATGCTGTTCGAATTCATAATGGTTGTAAATTATAGTAGGCCTATGCACACTGGAATCCTTTCAATGTACTCCGACTGTACTAAGAATGTGACACAATTGTCCCTTGTAAATTTTAATTATTTATTCCATGGCATTTTCATAAAAATATTACAAATAAAACAAAAATGCTATTCATCGAAAGAGTAAATATAAAGATAAGATGCATACAAAATACAATATTACAAGGATAACAACTGTTCGTTTTGGCCAAAAAATGAATTTTCCTGTGGTAAACGACAATTTTTCAATACTTACCAATGGTCAATGAATCCATTTCTACATTCAAAGTTAGTCCCTGGTTTTTTTCTAAGAAAGTTTTTTTTTAATAATCTCTTAAGAGATTTTTACAGAGTATAGTCATCTATGGAGGTCACGTGGCCCGATGGCAAGCACAGAATTTCAGAATAATTGATTTAACTGCCGTTTTTGTGGTAAAATAGAATATATTATATTTCTTTAAGTTGTTTACAAAGTATTTATTGTAAAATATGGATATCACACGAACAGTTGTTATCCCTTTAAGAATTCATTGAAATGTTCGGATATAAAAAGAAAAAGAAATATAAAAAAGTCAAAACCACATCTCGCCCCAGTCACAATACCAGACAAATGTAACTACTACTGACTCCCTGTACCCTATTCTGACATCTCATTCTGCTTAATAGGTGTGGGAGAATACATGCACACAATTGGACGAGAAGTGTCATCATCTTGATGCAGTTGTTGAGTCTGCATAGGGGTCTGCTGGTGGAGCTCTAACTGGTACTTCTGCAGTAGGCTATTCACTTCACTTTGGAACCTCAGCCACATGGTGGGAGGGAATGTGTAGGTGACCTCCTTCATGAAATCAGCAAAGATGTCCTTCTGTCGATGCATTGGTGACTTCTCAACCCTGGAGAGCTTGTTCTGCTCGTTCAGAATCTGTCTTTGCATTTCAGCAATATTTCCCCTAGTAGCCTCAATGTGATTAGAAGCCCCGGGCATGGATACCAAGGGAGTGTATGCATCAAGCTGAGCGGCTGCAAGGGGATGATGATCAGTGCCAACAGACTCAAATTCACACTGGGGAACTCGTGGTGCTTCAGCCTGAGCTGCCCGGGCGCGGACCTTAGCCTTCATCTGGTGAAGAATAGTAATAAGAAATAGTCATAAATAATGTGAAAGCACGTGAACAATTGTCGCAATTTCGCCAAAAGCATGAAAATGAGAACATGAAAATAATGAAATGAAATATTATTTACACTTACAGACATCCTCTTTTTGACCTGGACTATGAGATGGGGCCTGAGAAATTCAAAGTGGCGTAAGATCCAGCAGTCTCTTGCAGTCAGTTCATTGCTGCCCGAACCTGGGAAAACCTGCTTCAACTTGCCAAACCTTGATCTCATGTTCACGTACCACTTCTTCAGCTGGTCACTGGTCTTGTCCATCTCCCTGGCCTTCTGCTCCCACAGCGCGTCCTTTAGGCCTTTCTTGATGTAATTAGGGTGCTTCTTGTTGAGGAGGCAATCTTGCTCGGGGGCCTGGAGCCAGTCAACCATCTCCTGCTCCTGCCGCTCGGTGAAGTCAGCCGTCACCATCTCCCTCCTTCGCTTCTTGTGGGATTGAGTAGCCTCACTGGGAGGACGCTCATTATCACTGTCAGAGGATGATTGTGCAGCTTGCAGATGGATCGCGGCCATTGTGCACATCTGGGAAGCTATTGATTCAGCTTCAGACACTGAAGGTCCTGGGGCCCCATCAACAATAGAAGCTGGCTCTTCAGGGGCTAATTGGGCTGCAGCACCTCTTCCCCATCCAATGTCACTGCATGTTGAGGAGTTTTCGATCTTCACCCTGGCCTTCACCTTCTTCCTTGGCAGCATAACGTGCTGTTAGGAGACCATGCAATTCCTCAATTCTGACTGACGTTCCAGCGGCAGCTGACCGCATTTATATTCAATTCGCTAGTGTTCTGACTCATTCGAGGGCCTCCCGGGACGCTGAGACTGCATTCGACCCAGATTCGAGCCACAATCAAAATATTCCGACGGCATATTTGATGTGCATTCCAGCTGCATTACTTAGCTGTGGATCAATATGTATGTAAGTAATAGGAATGCAGCCATAGTGCAGTACGGATACATTTCGAATGCCATTCTCTCTACTTGGAATTCACCTCAAAACATTTGACCATGAACAAAATATCTGGGCCGACCACAAAAAACGGGACCGAATATTTGAAAGGCACTGATAATTTTAGAGTGCGATAAGAATATTGAGGAATATACAAAGATTTTTTTCAGTTAATGTTCAGTGTCAACATCACTTTGAAGGGGGGGGGGGGGGGGCTCAAGTGGTGGTGGTGGTGGTGGGTTATCGCTCTTAAAATCTGAATTAAGAAAGATAAGTAGCTTTGTAAGGGATTTAGAAATAGGGGGTGACATGGCATATTTTTTAACGTGTTCAAGTTTTACCTTCAAAAACTATCAGAAATCGAGATCGTGGGTTTAAGACGGCGAAAGATGACAAACCCGTTTTGATCTTGATACGTGTTTTAACAACTAATGCCTCGTTAGGGTGAGTTCAGTTTGGTTAGCTAGACCAATCTCTGATTATATGACTGGAAACAGGCCTGAGACTATAGGATAGAGGTACAGGGTAGGACTTGGGGGGGGGGGGGGCGTGCTTCTTACGCGCCACTATGGAGACATCTGGCGCTGGTATAGAAACTCGGGATTTTTATTGACATATAAAAATCCTTTTTCTTTCATTTTGTAAAAAAAAAAAAAAAAAACACACACACACAGAAGGCAGTAAGAAACCCATAGTCTTTTTGAAAAGAAAGTAAATAAAAAAAGGTAATCCTGGCAGCAAAAAAATGTTACGGGTCACAGGGCAAAACAAGCAAACATTTTAGTTAAGATCCAAAGCTGTCAGGTATGCCCCTATATTCCCATACTGCGCCAAAGTTTCATTAACCTAAAGGCACGGAAAGGTAAACAGTTTTATGTATTTATGTATGTATTTTATGTAATTATGTATTAATGTTGCCCCCCCCCCCTCCTTCCCCAGGAAAAAATCCCTGCGCCAATTGGGTTTCTGGGAAGAATTAATTCCCTGCTTTATTTTCATTTACGGAATGAAACACACTGTTTTGACATTGTTTTCTACTGAAGTAAGAAGAATGTGGCTGCATTCCAAATTTTTTGAGTTAAACTGTTTTTGTGGATGTTCAACTGACAACTGTTAAATATTTCATTTTAGCAAGCATTTCTTTTATCTATTTCTTATCATATTTTTATCTGTTAATAAATTTACTAAGGTCAATGTTCAAATCAGCAAATTAAAAATAATATTGCAAATTAATATTCTTATATACAAATCAGATTATTATATGATTTCATACCATTTTTGTATGGTATACCATACTTGTTTTAAATTCACAATAAACTGGGCACCATATATTTAAAAAATGAATAAATATTTTTATTACATTAAATATACAAAATATTTATAGACGTTTACTCAGTATATTGAAATTTCATGCCTGTTTTGGCAAACACTAATTATTTAACTGAAATATATAAACCACAGTTAGGCTTTTGATTGACATATGTACTAATATTAAGAGAGATTTTGCCACCAACAAACTGTCTCTCCTCCCCCTTAAGTCTATCAACCCCTTCATTGATAAAAAAAAATCCAGCAGTAATTGGAATTGCCAGGCAACACATGGGTCATGGGTTCTTTTATATAAATTTCTTTTTCACTTGTGCAATTATGTCAGTTCATAGCAGTGAAGGGATCCAGGTGATGCAGTAATTAAGTTGTCCACAACTCACTATGGCAGCTCAGGCTATTGACAGGTTTATTGATTGTAACTAGGTCACTGTTACCAAGAAAATGTTCAATTCAATGGTTGTGCCCACACATTTACTGGGTTTCATTCATCCAGCAACAACCAGTCAGTTCCTGTCATGCATGTGGGTGATAATCAGGTAGACTTGGCAAATATACTTTTCCCTGCATGCATGTAGTTGGTCCAAAATGTGCTAACACATTTTGGTTCCTAAAATAAAGAATACAGCCCAGTATTATCAGTTGTGTAAATTATTATCTTTCTTTAATGGCCATATATTTATAACAATTCAACATTTATAACAATTCCGCATTGTACAACAAAGGTCATCCAGTCAGTATATACTACTCAGTAGTATGTATATGTATGCACTGCTCTACAACTTACCAGTACTTTCTCCTGCTGTAGAACCGCACCCATGGTCAGAGGATGCAGGCCTGGTGGTTTGTTCTCTACTGTGTGCACTACTGGTTCCGAAGATCTAGAAATAAGCATATACTTTGCATTGTCTACTATTTACATTATTAGGCTTACTAGTACTATTATAAGGTTAACTTCACAAAATAGGTGTTGAAATATCTTAAAAATAATAAACTAAAGGCCATTTATTATTATCAGACAAAAATAATGAATTAAGGTCTTCCCTTTTTTTAGAGAAGACATTGAATATTATGAGTAAGTAACTTAAAAAAAAAAAAAAAAAAAAAAATATATATATATATATATATATATATATATATATATATGCTTAATTCCTTTTAAATATTTAGTTAAATTCTCACTTTTTCTTGCTCTTAGCACTTGGTTTCTTAAGTGGTTCTAACTGCACAATATTTCTTTCAGCAGATGGTGCTCTTATCACTTCACTTTTACTTGTAGACCTGGACTTTGATCCTGCAGAGTAAACTGAAGATGACCTTGAACTTGCTGTGTTTGACGAGGAGTACAGGTCATCCTCATCTTCTTCTAAGATAGGAGAATATGCAGATTCTGTCATAAAAGCTGGCAGGGCAGGATGTACATAGCGTGGATCTTCTGCAGGTTGTTCATTTTCTTCTATAGCTGGAGTGTTGTCATAGCTTTCATACTGAAAAGCACCAAACAAATTTAATAAAAGACTAATGTTGCTGCCAATCAATTAATCCTAAAAAGAATTTCTTGATCATTTCTCCAAAACATATCCTATGTGAATTGTAAGTGCATCAGACATCATTCTACAGGGTTGATAGAATGCATTGCATACTTGCTCTCAAATTGCTATCAACTCAAAGATGGTGCAGGAGGTTTATAGGATCTAACACTATTAACTGCATATCTTAACCCAGATTCCATATAAATTGGTAGTAAAGAGAAGCAGTATTTTAGTGTCAATTACAGTAACAGGCACTTGTTTTATAATGTGTTGGATGTGAAAACATATAGGTGTCACTTACCAAATCTGCCAGTCTGGGGCCTTCTGTAAGCATCTTCATTTCATCTGCATGCTTAGCAAGGATTCTATAGAAGAGAGGTTGAATTAACCATATTATCAAGGACATTCTTTTGATTACCAAAGAGGTAATGTTTTCACCTCCTGTCTGTCTGTCTGTCTGTCTGTCCATTCGTCACCAGCCTAACTCAAAAATTTATGGATAGATTTTGATGCATATTTCATAACTGGTTTCTTTTAGCTGCATAAATTTATGTTAATACCAACACATATTTAATCTTATGTGGAAATTGTATAAGTACAACAATTGCAATAAATACATACAAAATATCCCTATATGATATATCTCAATATACCGATGCTTTATGTAATATTCACATAGAACATTAATACAAAAAATTTAAAGATTCACTTCCATGACTAAGTGGTATAAAAAGAAAGATTTGCACTACCTTTGTGATGATGCTTGATTTGTCAAAGCTAGCTGATACATTCTTCTGAGTTTTTTAACAAATGTTTTTCTTTTCTGCTCTCTCACTGCAGCCTCTGCCTCTCTCTGGAGCTTTGAAATTTACAGAAAAAGCATGGTTGAAATATATTTTTCACATTCATCAAATACAAAAGGTCATTTCAGTAATATAGAAAGTGACTCAAACCTCTGGGGTTGGCCATTGAACTGCTTGAAAACAGTGGAAATTAACTATCATAATTATCCTTTGTTTTACTTTCATTGATCTTTTCTTTACTTGAATTTATTGTGTTCACATATTATATAATTATCTTTTTATACCACTTAGTCATGGAAGTGAATCTTTAAATTTTTTGTATTAATGTTCTATGTGAATATTACATAAAGCATCGGTATATTGAGATATATCATATAGGGATATTTTGTATGTATTTATTGCAAATAAATTTAATTTTTTCCTGTTATGTTATTATATCATATGACCTTTTATAAAAAATGTCCTTCTTACCACTTCTGGATCTGGTGGTTTCTCTGCCAATTCCATAGTAAAGCAATGCAGTTTTGGCAGCTCTTGCTTTAAAGAAAAATGGGAAGAAAATGTTGTCAGTGTAAATGCATTAGGTGTGCTATTTTCTGTTGTGTTACAGTACTAGTAAGAGTGCCATCAGGGTTTGTCTTGGATAAAACACCTTATACTAGCATTTAAAAAGCATCCACTTTGTATTAAAAATATGGTCGCAATGGTCAAAGGAAAAAAACTTGTTTTTTCTTTCATAAATATATATATATATATATATATATATATATATGTATATATATATGTATCAATGATTAGGTAAAGATATGAGCTAATAAAAGTTTGAGAAAAAATGTTATCTCATATCTTTTATTAAAATAATTTCAATGTACCCAACTCCCATTTCAATAATATAAATTAAATTAAGTGAATAATTCCACATCTATTGACAGAGAGAATCATTATGGTACATACTTTAGGAAATCTTTTTTCTAACTGCTGAGCAGCTGCTTTGGCAACCTGAGTGGCAGAAACAGTCTTGGCAGAGCTCTGAAAAGTAATGCAGTTCTTATATGTTTTTGAAAAAGAAAAAAGCATCTACTACCCTCAGTAATCTCTGAGCAATATGTTAAACTAACAAAAATAATTATATATGCAATCCTACACCATAAACTTTCAAATAATAAGAAATATAAGCAATACCACTGCTTTATTAGTCTGATATGGGTAATCTGTAACAGGCACAACCAACACTCATGTTTTAATTCAAACATGCTAACACAAATACATGCAGCATGTATTTTATTTACCCACCCACCATTTCACTTTTTCTACCACTTTTTGGTGAAGGAGAACTGTCCCCCTCCTCTATTCCTTCCAGATGGTGCCAGTCTGCAGTGCTCTGGTCTATGGTGCTCCCCTGAGCCTGGTCAGTGGTGGATGAGACTGTCTCTGAATCTGAAAGTTTATGTTCTGTTCATATTATACATTATGTAATAAGTATGCTTATTAATTACTGGACTGTTTCCACTGATTTTGTAAAATTAATTGCTAAAAATAATAATACTATATTTAAAGATGTAGTTGATGAATTTGTTCAATTTACCAAATTAACTTTATGTATTAAAACATGATGTCAATAAAATATTAAAACTGATGCTCTCCTCTCTCCCTCTCTCTCATTTAAAAATTTTTATGGGACATATGTCATAAGTTAAGACAAAGCAATCAATAGGTGCCAAACCAAATAACAATTATAAAGCCTTAATGCTTTATTAAACCTTAGCTACCAATACCCACAAACCTTGAACAAAACTAACTCTCTCTCTTAATTGCTTTTCAAGCAACATGTGTCATGTTAGAATAAAACAATCAATACAAGCCAAATCAAATAACAATTATCAAGCTTTAATGCTTTATCAAACCTTAGTCGCTTATGCTCACAAACCTGCAAAATGTGGGACAGGAGAGGATGGAGATCCTGTCCTACGACCAGAGGGGGATGGGGTCCTTGACGAAAATGCAGATGTAGGTACAGAAGAGGGAGACACTGAAAATCTCTCTGAATAAAAACACAAGGTGATGCAATCTATTATACTACATTACAATGTGCAAAAGTCCACTGTTTTTTCTTCTTTCAGCTTGACAGAGCAGTATTAGGATGCATATTCACAAGAAACCATTAAGACCCTTGCAAGGTTGATTGACTTATTATGTTGCATGGACCCAGTGTGACAAAATGCAATCAACATCTTCTATACCAGTATTAACTGTCTTCTGCTTTATTTACAACAGCAAGGTCAAAATAGTTGCTTATGTTAAGTGTGTCACACACAAATTAGGATTGCAAAATATGCAATCTATGAACAAAATGGTTCAACATTGAATAAGTGCTACTACTGTACTAATTAATACAGATGGTGAACAAACATGAATTTCATTGTGCAGCTTCTACAAGCAATATCTAAGTTAAAGGTGAATGACTATGGTTTCAGTAATTACTATGTACACTGACTATGTTTAACATATTTAAAACAGCAAAAAAAAGCGTGTTGTTTTAAATCATGCATCACTCAATAACATAATGTAACCATGACAAAAATACTAACAATGGGTGCTGATGTAATTTCAGATCAGAAAACAGCACATTTCTCATTACCTTTCAGTACATGTTTGTCAGACAAGTATGCCTCAAATATTGCTGGGCTTTTGGCTTTTTCCCAAAAAGCATCAACATCAGTGAGAGTCTTCAGTTTTCCTTCTTTCTGAAGCTTCTCTTGGATAGACAACACCTACGGAAAAAAGATACACAAATGCAAATTTACATTCAGGTTGAGTAATTTATGCAAATGCAATCTTGGAGAACAAATTTTACTGAAACTGCAATTCTAAACTGTGCACAGGCATGGGCAGAGTCAAGTGAGAAGTATTTTATGCTACTTCTAAAACATCAAGAGGGATTTTTATCAATTACTGCCAAGTACCTTATAGTAATACGACTTGTATGATTTGTTCAGATAAGTATTATCTGTTGTCAGATCATGCCTCTTCATTATTTTCTTCCTATAAGCTAGTCCTTTTTTAATCTGCAACAAATAAAATGTTAATTTATATATTTGTCTAAAACTTATAAGCTCACAAATGGGCAGTCATTTTATTAATTTTTCGAAAGCGACAACTTTCTTTGCAAACTTCATCACAAAACAGTAATTCCTGCTATGAGTAACTAGAAATGACTAATATAAAAAATATTTTAAAAAAGCATTTGCTTCTTATAGTGTAAAATAATAAGCAAGAAACAAGACTTTAACTTTTCTGACATAGACCACCTTTCTGTTTTACTCATTTTTTCCTATTTTTTAACAGCTCACCATCCTTTCTTCCTTTTTTCTTATTTCCTGGTCCAATTCCTGAACTCTCTTTTCGTACATTTCATTTTGTTTTGCAATCTTCTCCTTTACTTTTTCCTTGTACTCATCAAAAAAATATCCACGGACTTTCTCTGGATTTTGGCACATCTGCTGAAATTTCTTCAAAAAAAGAAAAACAAAGGTTACTTTGATGGAAATAACAATACTGTGTAAGATGAAATCTGTGATGGTATCAGTAGAGATAAAATTGGGTTCTTGATCCTCAGGCCTTCCCAATTACCAGACTCGGCACCTACGGGTCCAGAATAAACCGGTATATCTGACCACACTACCCGTTTTCAAGGTGTGTGTCAGATCGCATAAAAGAGTATCATACCCTATCACAAATTCTGTAAGCCTACCTGTCATCCGGGTATCGCGCCTCGTTTTTGTCAAGTAGGAGTCGTATGAATACAACAGACGACTCCCTCAATCAGGGGGTGGAAACGCGCGACTTATATGATTAAGACGAGCCTAGCCATCAGTACCGGTTATTGTTTTGTGACCTTGAGGAGCAATTAGGTTTGGTCGTTGCGGCACACATGAACAGTAGTTGAACTACCACACCTGGGTCTTTTGTTTTTGACAACTGTTCACTCGTCATCGAGGCGCTTGTTCAAGACTACAGGCTGATATCTACTAGTACTACCACAATACTTAAGTTTTCTGTCCGTGCGTACAAACCCTGAAAAAGGACAGCCTCGCTGACGAGAAAAATGGACGTTTCTCACCCCTCTCTAGGATTACCCCTGCCCTCAATCTCGTCCATCCCGGTAGTCATGAAAATATTTAACCCCCGACAGAATATGCTTCCGCTATCAAAATTAGGTCTACTTTTCTAAATTAATATATAAGTTTGCAAGTTCTTATTTACAAAACATCATTGGCTATGTCCGAACCTAAATTTTATGTTAAAAATTGCGGTACTGTCAGATTTTAGCATAAACAGAGAAAATTGCAGCAGCACATGAATCTAGAAGAGATGCACTACTTTCCAACCCTGCTTAGGATCATTGCTATCACATCGCACACCAGGCAAAATCGGTGTGGTGGCTGATACTCTGTAATGCGATCTGACACACACCTTGAAAACGGGTAGTGTGGTCTGATAAACCGGTTTATACTGGACCCGTAGGTGCCGAGTCTGGTAGTTGGGAAGGCCTGATCCTGGTTGCCCAGCTTGTGGTTTTTCTTATGCCTTTTATCAATACAATGAAATCTCATGTGGTTGTCTGTATTTTATTAATTACATTTGCAGAAAGGCATTGAAAATTTTTTTTAAAGTTTTACATAAGTGCCATGTCTACATACATGATCTCTTATTCTTTTTCTCTCCTCTACTTCCAGTGAACTTTTTTCTCTTCTAACACCTTCAGGTTTATCTGAATGTTCTACCCTTTTCTTGTGGTGCTTCTGAAAAATGAGTAAAAAATACTTGAACAAGTTGTTATTTCCAATAAACCACTTCCTTTTGTGATAATTAAAACATCTATTCATTGACAATTTCTAAAAGATCTATGTAGAAAAAGGAAATAAAAGTGTTAAACTATTATAATAATTTGCACCTGCTTTGACACTGCTGAATATACCTTATGATGCTTCTTCTTTGGTGATTTTTCCTCTGGCATTCCATATTCATTAAGTAAGTTTGGCAAGGTAGACTTAATTGGTGGACTTTGTTTTACTGCTGAAGCCATTTTGGATGGTAAGTGTGTTCCCCTCTTGTATTGCTGCAGTTTTTTGGCTGTAATTTATCTATATAAAAGATGGAATATCTCTGAAAATTCTTTAAAAAATGTAACATGGGTGTCTTGTTATCATAACTGACAGGCAGGCTTAAAGTCAATAAATTTGTGGTTTTTCTCTTCACTCAAAGGCATTACTTCACAAACGTGTAACATTATACATTTGTACGTCTAGTACTATACTAGATCCAACTTTCAATAAAGAATTTTGTTGCTACAACTTTTAATATATCTGCATAGGTGTGGCCCATTCCAAATATAAATTCTCAAAGTTAATATTATTCCTTATTGTATCTTAACCAAAGCTTTGTAATGCTGTTAGTTAATTTTTGGTTTGAACGCCTTTAGGAATATAAGTTTTTAAAGCAGAACATAGTCGGACTTGTTGGAAAGATAGGCTCAACACGAAGTTAACATAAGCGCTATTTTTATGGTTTCTTAAAAATAACAAAACATGGGCGTAATCAGGAGTGTTAACCTAACAAATGCGGGGAATTTCGTACGATTAGCTCCGAGTCCATTTTTATGCTATGTTAAGAGTAACAACTTTGTCTTTTACTACATAATAACGATATCTTTAAGCGGAAGTTTCCATTTTGCACAATATCAAAATTCAAGTAAAGGTTGCTTGTATAACCTCACCTCTCTTTTATAAATTTTCTCTTGGAGTCATGCGTCTTTTTGTGTACATTAACCACCTGCATCCGCCATGTTGCCGTCGCTAAAAACAATATATCCCACAATTCAACAATTCTCGCTGAATACCACGAGATCAAGCATGGCTGATTGGGAAGAGGTGAAACGACTGGCAGCAGATTTTCAGCGCGCACAGCTGAGTAGTACTGTCCAGAGGTATGACATATACATAAACTGAAAGACCTGTCCATATCTTTACATTTAAAGTATTTAAAAAACAATCAAAATTTCCATTGAAAGCGTAATCGACCTGATACCAACAAGCTGGACACGTCGACTACTCGCTACAGACGACAGGTGTTTGTTGATGTAGAATGTGGCCTTAAGGTTGTTTAAAGTATGACTGATTGGATCATTAAGACAAATCGCCAGCTTGCACAAAGTATGTACTAGCTTCGAAGGGATGGAATAAACTAAAAAATAACAACCCTTTATAACATTTTTTGTTTTTGACTCCCAAGTCCCAATAATTTTATTCCTTGGAAAGTGCAATATTTCTACATGTACTTGTGAGTTTTGTTATTTACGATATTAAAACTAACTTTTGTTTCTAAAGTCTTTAGATATATTTTTCCTCTTTTTTAGACTTTCAGAAAGAAACTGTATTGAAATTGTCTCTAAACTGATACAGTTGAAATTGATAGATGTAATCTACACAACAGATGGCAAGGAATACCTAACTCCACAAGAAATATCTAAGGAAATCCGGGAGGAGTTGATTGTTCATGGAGGTGAATAAAAGCTTTAATTCTACTTGTGGATAGTACTATTCATTAATTAATTTAGTTTAAAAAATAGTACCCATAGAGTGACACATTTGTTTATATGAACAAAGACTGAATTATAATAGGTCATTGGTAAACATGTGCATTGGAGTAATTGATTTCCAATCTCAGCCGTTAATCATCACTGGGTTTATTTTGAAATGATAAGATGAAAGTTGAAAATGCAGCATGTTTATTGATGACATTTTATTTCTTTTCAGGTCGTGTCAACTTGGTAGAGCTTCAGCATGCCATTAATGTTGATTTGAGTCACATCCAAAATGAAGTGGAAGAAATCCTCAAGACTGACAAAAACCTTACACTTGTCCTAGGGCAGTTAATTGACAAGTAAGTTATTTTTACAGAGATGTCTATTTAGTAGCTCTATAATTTTGTATGAATTATAGATAGATAATTGATGAACACGGAAGCAATGGACAATTGCAGTATTTAAAAGTTGAAAAAAAATTTTATGAAGCATTGTTAAAATTATCTGAAAAAGTTAAATCTCAGCTCTTAAAATTATTACTATAACAATATTGGATTTGTGCTTTTTAGGGACTACCTTGACCGCTTAGCAGAGGAAATCAATTATAAGCTCCAAGAACAAGGACAAGTTACTATTGCAGAACTAACCAAACTGTATGACTTGCCAGCAGATTTCTTATCTGAGGTTTGTACACTGCCAATACTAATACTTGTTTAGCATTTGTACAACTCCAGCAATATTTATTTGGGATTTATCAGCATTACTGGTTTAATACATTCATTAGCATTCTATAAAATTTGGTTGCCAGTTTCTTTTTTTTTTTGTCTGAAGATGATACACATTATATATGCCAACTTTTTAGAACTGTGATATATAAAAGTTACTAAATATCCTTTTTACTCTGAAGTGGATAGGGAAGTGGGCATGCTATGCTTCCTACATTAAAAAAATGAAGTGATATTTTAAAACATCTATTATAAAAGACATGACACCTATTTATTGGCATCATACAGATTATAACCATCAATATTTGATCTTAGCCTCATCTATCCTGTTAATAATCTGGACCTGAACTTTTTTAAGGTGATAAAAGAGCGTCTGGGCATTATAGTCCAAGGGCAGATAGATGACTTTGACAGGGATGTTATCTTTACTGAAACTTTTGTTGCAAGGCAGAAAGCAAAGATCAGGGGGATATTCAGTGCAGTTACAAGGTAAGGAGTCTTCTCAGATGTCTTACTGCTACTATTGAATAAGGCAACTGTAATTGTCCTGAAATATGCCTCTGTGAATGTATTTACAGTTGTGCATATTTGAGGGATATTTATTTTCTTAACAACACAAGTTAGAACAAGGTTTGTTGATTTAATTTTGAGACAAAGGAGGGAAATAAGAGCTTGTAATGTTTTATTATCTTTCTTTAACTTTTTTTCAGACCAACACCAGTGATGAGTATAATAAACCAGTACCACCTTCCAGAGAGACTTTTTTACAGTAATTATTATCATTGGCAAAAATAAATATATTATTGTTCAACTTGTTAACAAAAGATTTATCAGGTTTCCTTTAATTAAAAATCCTTAGATAAAATCCTTAGATAAATATTCATGATTACACGACATTCTGCCATAAATAGTCCAGTTTCTGTACATATGTTGCTTTAGTGCTAAGAATAAATTGTTTATTTGTAGGTGAAAATGTCTTATCCATGTAACATTAATATTGTATTTATTTTGTAGCCATTCTAGAAGACCTGGTCAGCAGTGGACGGTTGGCAGGCAGTATATCTGGTGGACGTCAGGATAAAGCCTCTTATATACCAGACATCTACACTAGGTCTCAGACAGAATGGGTGGATGCCTTCTATAAACAGAACGGTTACTTAGGTCAGCATTCTGAGATCTCCTACTTTTATGTCTGACATCCTTTTGGAAGGGAAATTGAAATGTTTTCTGAAAGTAGGATAATGGATGAGATGCTTTAAAAGAGCAATGTAACAGTTGACATCAGTTGGGTCTATAATTTTGCTGTCATTCTGCAGGTTTGAGAGCATTGAATGGAGGACTAGAATGATATAATGTTTTTTTTTTTTTTTGTGAGCAAAACTGTTGTACATATATCAGCACGAAGTGATTACTGATAGAATCTTGTAAGAAGTAAGAAACAATTTGTGTTGTATTTTCTCACTAAATGTGATTGTCTGCTTTCTTTAATACAGTACCATTGCAAGTTCTACATGCAATGATCAGCACTTTCATATAAACACTGCATGTGACCTATCTTTCAGAATATGACTCTCTGAGCAGACTAGGTATAAGTGATCCTAAAGGTTTCCTGAAGAAGCGTTACAAGGGTGAATCTCTGAGTTTCCTGAGTACATGCTGTGCAGGCACCAGCATCAAGGATCAACTGGAGGCCACTGTTGATGAAGCATTGGCAGGAGGCACATGGACAGATGTCATGGTATGGTATCTCAGACAGATTTTGGAATTTAATTTCATATTTAAAATTTAATGAATCAATGGGATGGTTTGGTTTGGTTTGGTGGCAGGCTACCATTTTCCTGAAGTTGCACCATTTTATTGTGTAGCTGTCCATTTCATCTTTGCATTTTTAAGATAGGTCTTCACCCAAAATAGCACATGGAAAAACATGGCTTTGTGTTTCTCTCTTTTATCTATTTGCATAGATTCTACACATATTCTATGCATATAGTAAATATTTATTCAACAGTCACTGCAGTGCAGTGCCTAGCATATACTACATGTACATTAACTCTTCTCCTATCCATGCTACTACTGAAAGTATATTTAACTTAATTTAATCATGTACACTTTTGTCCCCAATTCCAGCCTGTTCTGCCATCTATATTCAGTCNTACACATTACTTATGCCAACTTTTTAGAACTATAATAAATAAAAGTTACTTAATATCCTTCTTACTCTGAAATAGATAGGGGAGTGGGCATGCTATGCTTCCTACATTTAAAAAATCAAGTGATATTTTAAAACATCTCTTTGAAAAGACATGACACCTATTTATTGGCATCATACAGATTACAACCATCAATATTTGATCTTGGCCAGATCTATCCTGTTAACAATCTGGACCTGATTTTTTTAAGGTGATAAAAGAGCGTCTGGGCATTATAGTCCAAGGGCAGATAGATGACTTTGACAGGGATGTTATCTTTACTGAAACTTTTGTTGCAAGGCAGAAAGCAAAGATCAGGGGGATTTTTAGTGCAGTTACAAGGTAAGGAGTCTTCTCAAATGTAATTGTACTGAAATGTGCCTTGGTGAATGTATTTGCAATTGTGCATTTTTTGGGAGGATACTTATTTTCTTAACAAGACAGTTAGAACAAGGTTTGTTGATTTAATTTTGAGACAAAGCAGAGAAATAAAAGCTTGTGATGTTTTATTATCTTTAACTTTTTTTCAGACCAACACCAGTGATGAGTATAATAAACCAGTACCACCTTCCAGAGAGACTTTTTTACAGTAATTATCATCACTGGCAAAAATGAATTTATTATTGTTCAACTTGTTAGCAAAAGATTAATCAGGTTTCCTTTAATTAGAATTTTTGGAAAACATCCTTAGATAAATATTCATGATTACATGCCACTCTGCCATAAATAGTCCAGTTTCTATGCTAATGTTGCTTAAGTGCTAAGCATAAATTGTTTATTTGTAGGTGAAAATGGCTTATCCATGTAACATTAATGTTGTATTTATTTTGTAGCCATTCTAGAAGACCTGGTCAGCAGTGGACGGTTGGCAGGCAGTATATCTGGTGGACGTCAGGATAAAGCCTCTTATATACCAGACATCTACACTAGGTCTCAGACAGAATGGGTGGATGCCTTTTATAAACAGAACGGTTACTTAGGTCAGCATTCTGAGATCTCCTACTTTTATGTCTGACATCCTTTTGGAAGGGAAATTGAAATGTTTTCTGAAAGTAGGATAATGGATGAGATGCTTTAAAAGAGCAATGTAACAGTTGACATCAGTTGGGTCTATAATTTTGCTGTCATTCTGCAGGTTTGAGAGCATTGAATGGAGGACTAGAATGATATGTTTTTTTTTGTTTTTTTTATTTGTGAGCAAAACTGTTGTACATATATCAGCACGAAGTGATTACTGATAGAATCTTGTAAGAAGTAAGAAACAATTTGTGTTGTATTTTCTCACTAAATGTGATTGTCTGCTTTCTTTAATACAGTACCATTGCAAGTTCTACATGCAATGATCAGCACTTTCATATGAACACTGCATGTGACCTATCTTTCAGAATATGACTCTCTGAGCAGACTAGGTATAAGTGATCCTAAAGGTTTCCTGAAGAAGCGTTACAAGGGTGAATCTCTGAGTTTCCTGAGTACATGCTGTGCAGGCACCAGCATCAAGGATCAACTGGAGGCCACTGTTGATGAAGCATTGGCAGGAGGCACATGGACAGATGTCATGGTATGGTATCTCAGACAGATTTTGGAATTTAATTTCATATTTAAAATTTAATGAATCAATGGGATGGTTTGGTTTGGTTTGGTGGCAGGCTACCATTTTCCTGAAGTTGCACCATTTTATTGTGTAGCTGTCCATTTCATCTTTGCATTTTTAAGATAGGTCTTCACCCAAAATAGCACATGGAAAAGCATGGCTTTGTGTTTCTCTCTTTTATCTATTTGCATAGATTCTACACATATTCTACACATATAGTAAATATTTATTCAACAGTCACTGCAGTGCAGTGCCTAGCATATACTACATGTACATTAACTCTTCTCCTATCCATGCTACCACTGAAAGTATGTTTAACTTAATTTAATCATGTACACTTTTTTCCCCCAATTCCAGCCTGTTCTGCCATCTATATTCAGTCGTAGTGATGCAGCCCAGCTACTACAAGACTTTCTCAAACATAAGCAGGGAGTCCATGTGTTCTCTGATACTATTGTTGCCAGTGACAAGTTCATCAGTAGCTGTTGCAAGATGTTTGACAAGTTGATGCAGCACAAGGCAGAGAAGGTATAATGTTGTATTGCATCTACATGTACATCTACATCCTGAAAAGATCGGAAACATTCCAAAGTGTTAAGCAGAATATGTTCAAACAGCAGACAAAGGCATTGTAGCCTTACAGATAGAACTAATGAAAAGACAGTTATAGACTAAGCACTGAATAATGACTGTCACAAATAGAAAAAAAATTCTCAGTAATATATTTTTCTAATACTCTGAGCCATTTAAAGCAATAAATGTCATGGATTGAAGACTTAACCATTTATTTCAATCCAGGATTCCAAACTGAACTTGGTCCTGTTGTCTCCTGATGGTGACAAGAAGGTGCAACTGGACACTGCAGATAATACAAAAGAAGACAGGAAAGAAGCAAGGAGGAAAAAAGCTGCTGGTGAGTTAGCTTCAGGATATCTTTTGTGTGGTCTTTGTGTTTGATAATTGGATGGTATGACAGTCAAGTAAGCCTGGCTTTTTAATTTTCAACTTTGTAATATTACTTTGAAGACTTAATTGGAGGGGGGGAGGTCACTTTAACTATACGGCTTTGCGTATTTCTTACAGATTGAAATAAATGGCTGCTTTTGTGAGAAGATCAAAGTATTATCTGAATAAATAAAATGATAAAATGTAAGATTCCCCATCCTATGTCTATGCCAAATGTGTATCCTGAACAATGATGTACATTTTATTGGATTGTCAAGCTAGTCTGGTGTCATGTGTCATACAGCTGTTTTGTTTGTCACTCTAGGTGGTCAGAAATCAGGAGGTGGTTTACAGGGCAGAGAGGTCAAGATGAAGTCCACCAAGAAGAAAGGTCATTATGGTCGTGGAGGAGGAGGAGGACATGACGAGGATTCTGAGGATGAGGTTTCTGCCTCTGTTTCATCACAAAAGGGAAAACCCAGGGAGGCAGAGTTCATGAAAGTACCAGAATTGACTGAAGTACTGAAGAAAAATCTCAAGGATTGTGATGAAGAATTTCTAACGGAAGTTGCTCAACAAATTTATAGGTATGAGTATTAAAACCCTCTTCAGGCACTCTCTAAAGCTGGTATTTTAACAAAGAAAAAAAATGTCAGACAAAAAAATTTATTAACTTGCAGTGTTAATTTTTTTAAATTTCATCCTAAAAGAGAAAGATCTCAAATGGTTAGGTATGGTTTTATAGAAGAAAGTCATTATTATTTTTAATGTTACAGGCCTTTAAAGAGACAGTACCAGGAGATTGCCAAGTCCGTTTTTCTTCAAAGTTCAGCCTCATCAGGAACTCCTAGAAAGAAGACACAGGGAGAGCTGCAAGAGAAACTGGTTACTTTGTGGACAAATACAAAACTGTTTGAGAAAGGGATAGCGCTGTTTAAAGGTAGAGTTTGTCTGCTTCTGTCTATCTGTCTGTATTGGGTATTTTAACGTTCTTCCTTGGCTATAATGTGGAATGCAGAGAATATGACAGTGCTAAAAATTTTTATAACTTGGCAAAAAAATTTAAGATACTAATGTCTTAAACCAGCTGCATTTAGTGATGTACAATGAATTCAATTTGGAGGAAATTCATTTAACTTTGATTTAGACAGCTTTAACAAGTTTTTTGGTAAATACCTTAAACAGCTTTTGTCACTTTTTACATGTTTTGTTTTATAACTGGTTTCAGAGGATGTCCAGGCACAACTCTCCAAGCACCTACTCAAGACAATATGTACTGATATTACTAACCTAATTGTTAATGCCATAGCAACAGATCACATGATGTCTGTGAGTGACGAGACACAGCTCACTCCAGAAGTAAGTGGCATACTGCTCTCGAGTTCTTTCCACAGCAGTTAGATATTAACTTTGTAGTGTTGCCTATCAATTAGGAATGTTAGTTTTCACCACAGCTGTAATGGAAAGTCATTGCAAAAGATAGCTGTTGTTGATTATAAAATGTGACTAAAATGTCTCTGTCATACATTATTGTATTAATCTTAAGCTTGGATTAAGCTTTAAATTGCATTGTTTTTGTTTTCTGCTTTTCCTTTTCATGGTTTTTATTTATGTTATATATGTTATATGTTATATAAGTGTTGAAAACAAGTGTGTTATATACCACTTGTAATTATTTTCAGATGAGGGTAAAAATAATTGGAAGCATTCCAGAGCCATCGAAGTCTGTACTTAGCAAACTTCATAGTTCATTAAATGATAAGGTATGTTTAAAGGTGTTGGTTCTGCTTCAGATAGGTGAACATGTTGCTGTTACAGAAATTTGGTTTTAATTACCACGAAGTATGAATTGAATTTTATATAAAAAGGATACCAATAATTGGAGCATGATGTATCTTGCAGTGTTATAGAGACTGATACAGTGTAGAAGTGTAATCCATGTAGTTAATTGTGCTCACACACACACACACACACACACACACACACACACACACACACACACGGTGTAATGAATATTATTTTGTTTATTTTTGTTACAATTTGTCCATTCAGAGCCTTGAAGTATTTTATAACCAGCTGGATGAAGCATGTGGACCATCTCATTTAGGCATCTTGCTAAAAAAGCCTGACAAAAAGAAAGAAAGGTACCTGCTGGGAAATTTATTTCAATAGTTTTTAATGTTCTCTTTAATGTAAAGTGAGAGCTGATTTGTGTAACATTCATCATTTGTGTAATATTTTTCATTTCAGTGCTTTTTTTCATTTAGAATGGTATCATTCAGAAAGTTTTAGCTTGAAATTGACAACATATCCCAAATTAATGTAATTTGCTCTCTTGATTCACCTATGGTCATCCTTATGGGTTTATATTTGTAAGTCTTATAGCTAATACTGTACCAAATTCTGGAATAATGATAAAAAAGAACAAATATTTGTTTAATAGTGAGAGTAACAATCCTAGGCATTTTTTAGCATGAGCTTAAACGATAGATCATATATACAAATACATTATTCTCATTACCCATTCAAAATTCAATGTGATTTTCATAACTCATTCAGACAGCTGGTATTTAACCACCGTCAAGCCCTGGCTGAGCAGCTCCGTAGAGAGACAGAGCCAGCCCTGGTGCTCCACCTGGCCTGTGTGGTGCTTATCCAGACCTTCACACAGACCATGCTGCATGCACCGGGCAAATGTGTGCCACAGATACTGAGCCAGCTGAAGGAATACATGACCCCAGAGGATTATGGGAAACTATCTACTTTCCAAGGTAAATGCCCAGTTCTTCACTTTACTTTTGAAAGTGTTCATAATAATCTTTGATTGTTTATATTTAATTTTGCATAAGGAGAAAGTATTGAAAGAAAGGGAACTTTTAAGAAGACACTTCAAGTGTGTGGATTCATATACCAAAATGTAGTAATGCAGAAAAAAGGTGTTAGTATTTTACATATAAATGACACAAGAATTCAGTTGTCATTAAAACAGAAAGTAAGTGGAGTATAACTTCAAAAAGTATAGATTCCTTATGTTTAAATGAAAAGATGAATTGTGATTTCATTCTTCTTTCGTGGCTAGAACACTTTACTAAATGCCATTTTATTTCCAGATCTTGTAGTTAAACAGCTGAGACAAGGGAGTGAAGATGGAGAAGATGAGGATATATCTATGCAGCTTGTCCAGCTTGTGCCACAGGTTAGAGAGCTTGCTTTGACCACCAAGAAAGCTGCAGCAACCAGTAAGGAGCCAGAAGACTGAAATTATGTCGCACCTTGTTTGAAATAATGTCACACACGTTGTTTGAGTGCCAAGAAAGCTGAAACAGTTGTTATGGAAAACATGGAGACCAGAGACAAAGTGGCAGTGATTGATGCAATATATGCTGTGTGCCATACACTAGCCAATGCTCGACCTAATCTGTGCTACCAAGGAACGTGGAGATTTATTGTTACTAAGAATAAAAAATTGGCCCAAACCCAACTGCATTATATAAGCCAAGAAAACATGACATTTTCAATATAGCTGGTAACTGATATTCGTTGACTTTCGGTTTGTCAATGATCATTGCAAGTATAGTTTTTTAAAAAGCAAGACAAGATTATTTTTTCTGCCAGAAGAAATAATGACCTGCATATAAGAAAATATATTTGGAGTTCACTTCATCATTATGATTATTTCCTGATACATGATTTTGCCTCATTTGTTTGTAAGAAATTTAGGGTGTCATTTTATACGGTATGTCACATATCGGGTTTGCCACCCAAAACGTGTTCTCACTTCCAAGAAACATACGAGACTGGTGTCGCAGAGTGTTTTTATGGCTCGTCCTATTCAATATTGGAAGCGCAATCCATGACAAATGTGGGATACGCTAGTAACTCTGTTATATGCAACTGCATCCATGGCCAAGAAGTTGACATAAATTATGGTGCTAAACTTAGCAGAGGTCACATTTGATTGCTTTAGCAGTGTGAGTGACTTTTGACTTCCTGATATGAAAACGTTCCACAGGATCCTGTTTTTTTTTTTTTTTTTTTTTTTTTTAATTATTATTATTATTAGTTTTTTTTATAAGGTTACAATGTGCCTTTCTCGTAAGATCTTGGAATATCACGGTATATTTATTTCTTTTAGTAACGTGTATATTATCCTCATCACGAGCACATTGTTTAAAAAATAAAGAAGGTATTCGGTGATGTACTATTAAAAGGGCATCTGTCCGATTTTTCATGTACGTATGCTGCATGTGTATGTATGTATTCTGGTCTGTATTTGTTCTTGCCGTCGCTGTCCGAGACATCAACTGTAACGGCAAGACCGTATTTTTTGTTTGGCCGTGAAGTAACTGAGCAGCTTTCATATCGAGTCAAATCAATGTATTAGCATGAGCATAAAAGGCAGGTGAGCGAACTTCAAACCAATAGCCGATAGTGGTAACTGGGCATAGTATTAGGTCTTCGTGCATTCTGCAATGAAGGATTTTAAGACACGTGAACGAATGGATAAATGTTCTGTATCAGTCAAGAGTTCACTAAACTTTGATTTCATAATTTAATCTGTAAGATCTTATAGATTCGCCGTTCTTTGAGAACGGTTTTAGCAGCCACTCCCCCAATCAAAATTGGCCTCTCCGGTTGTAATTTGCATAACAATAAGTCGCTCAGTGCAGTGCGAACTATCTTCTTGACGTTTCATTTGACAGCTGGACACTGTTAGAAGAGGACGCAGGACAGGTGTGGTGAAGTCGCAGAGCCGAACATTTCATTCAGCGCTGAAGTTTGTGCCAGGCGTGTGTGATTATTCTTAGGTTGAACCAAATATGTCTTGTGAGTAAAATGATTCTACAAGTATATAAATGTGGAAAAAATTCCAGTCTAATTCTATAGTATGGTTTGCACGGCTATTGTCAGAATAATGGAAATGCGTTCCTCTTTGTCTTTGAAATAGCTTGCACCAAAGTGTTTATCAGGAGCTTGCTTTAAATCTAAAGTTNGTGTGTGATTATTCTTAGGTTGAACCAAATATGTCTTGTGAGTAAAATGATTCTACAAGTATATAAATGTGGAAAAAATTCCAGTCTAATTCTATAGTATGATTTGCAGGGCTATTGTCAGAATAATGGAAATGCGTTCCTCTTTGTCTTTGAAATAGCTTGCACCAAAGTGTTTATCAGGAGCTTGCTTTAAATCTAAAGTTAGCGGAATGGGTTAAATAGGCTCTTTGTCATTTATAATGTCACATCATAGTCAGAAGGGAGAAGTATGTTTATTACTCTGACAATACCTGTACGTCCCACATTATTGAATTAAGCACATAAAACGTAACTTTTCACATTTATATGCTTGCATGTGATTGTACCAAGGATGTTTCTTACAACTTCTTTCTTGCGTTAACGAGTTCAAATTGCCATGTACTGTAATAATGTCCTTTGATTTTATGTGTTCTAAACTTCGATTGCCTTGGTATTTTACTTCAAAAGTTGAATGTTGATAATCTCTTAAAATCTCGAAAAACACACTGTCACTCACTGTGAGCATGTTACGGCTCTAATCTGGTCCTCAGATCTACTGGTGATTCCATCTAAATACATTTTGTATTTCTAAAACGCTTCTTTGTATTTTTTATATTCGTATGATCCTCATGGATCTTTAAACGGGTCCGTATTACATCATATGATTTTAGGAAAAATGTTTTTAATGTTTGAAACTGAAGCAAATAACGGGTATGAGAGAACTTTTGAATTTTTTTCATGGTGACAAAAATTTCTTGATAAGCATTGGATATTTTCGGTGTGTATAGTTACCTATGTTTTATACAAATAAAAAGCAGGCTGTTTTACAGTTCACCAAATTAAATTTGCCGTTCGCGAGAAAGCATTAGATCATTAGCCTTCTAGACTCTAATTATGCTTTGCCTTTATCGGTACTGTGGTAATCCGTCATTTGGAGGAATTGCTCCGTTCGTTTGCGTCTTTAGTTTAAGAACACTTTCCAATAGTATTTTTTGTATAATACCTTGCCAATCTCCTCGTAGTATACTAGACATTTATTGAAATTTCTTGTGACATTCAAGACGTTTTATCTTGAACGACATATCCTTTGTCAATCGATCCTTTTTTTCAGTTTGGTATTCAGTTAGCCTCGATGCCAATTTTAAAGTTTAGCGCAAGTCTTTTCATCTTGGGCAAATTTAATCTTAGTTCAAACAATTGTATTACGTTGCGATATCATTTCTATCGTTACTAAAACGTTATTTTGATATTTCAGAACTGCCTATTCCTTTGCCGAGATCCTGCAAAATGCACATGCGTCTGGCAGAAGCTTCCCTAGTCTTATGCTGGAAATGGACACAGACACGCACGCACATACTTACACAGACACTGCACCACATTTTAGGCCTACTCATTTGATTTTAACATATTTGAAAACGTTTTCTAAGATCGATTGTGTTTCCTTATCAAATTACACTCAAAATTGGACTGTTATTTTTTTGTCTATTATACCCAATGGATTGATCATAGAGTTTTTAAAACAATACCTTGGAACAAGTTCGCATGTATTTAATTCTTTATGAAACCAATTCAGTTGCTCTCCGATTTTATTTAATTGTGTAATTGTATAATCATTTAAGTAATTAAAATGCCATAATGTACATGAAAATGATTGTCTATTGCAACTTTTAAACTTGAAGAGCAACTAAACAATGTTGCGAGTTGAGTGTTTATTGGTTCGATCAGCTACCGTATCATTTGCTATCATATATAATGGAAGTAAATTTTCGTTACTAGTGCTTTTATCTGGCACTTGTGAATACCGAGCAATTTATAAAAATAAATGCGTTTTTGGTTGTTTTTGATTTGATCTTAAAGACGGGGATGAAAGTTATATTATGATTATGTTTAGAATCAATAATGTGCTAAAGTTGAAATGTATTTGCCTCTTTAGATGTCGTTAAGGTTTGTAAACTGTAAATTAACACAAAAATGCCTTCATATCGATTTTACGGTAAAAAGATGAAGAGTTACTTGTCACGAAATGTGAATATATACGTTGGTAGCTAGTTCATTTCAACCGGGAAAAATTATCAATTTTTCAGAAACATAATTTTGGAATCATTAAAAATACATTTATCTGTAGCATTTTGGTGGTTATGCTGTATAGAATAGAACTATTAGGTGCTTTTAAATGTATTACTAAAATTACTAAAATAAATACAGTATCTGTAAAATTCACAATTTCCCGGTTGAAATGGCCAGCCATTACCGTATTAATCATTTTTTGGATATGCTAAATTTCAGATGAATCACTTCCATTAGCAAAAAAGTTAATATTTCCCAGTCCTGTTCTTAACACTATTATATTTATACACTTTATGCAATACTTGATTATTTAGTTGTCTTTAAAAAAACTGACATATCATTTTTCTGAGTTTTTATTTAGTTGGTCCCATTTTTAGAAATGGTCTCTGTAAATGAACAGCATAAATACTTGTATTGACATTCCAGTACAAAAAGAAAAGGCATTAAGTTCGAAAGCTACCCGAAAGAGTGATATTGAAAATAAAGCATGCACAGTCAAATGACCAAAAAAACGTCACAATTTTCGAATTTTCTTAAATTAAAGTAAAACAAATTCTGTACTTGTTTCAGTCCATTTCCTCAATAGATATATTTCAAAAGTACGAGAATTCTAAAGTGTTTGTATTTATTTAATGTATTTCAACTTTTCTATAATAAACAGCTTATTAACATAACTTTGTTTTATTTATATTGATTGAAATTGATAGAATGGGAACAGGTGGGGCAAATCCATTCCAATTGAGGGGTGGCAGGTGGGGCGAGTCCATTCCAATTGAGGGGTGGCAGGTGGGGCAAGTCCATTCCATTTGAGGGGTGGCAGGTGGG